CAAAAGGCATGACGTTGTATTCAAAATGTCCATACCTAGTTCGAAATGCAGTCTTCCATTCATCTCCTTCTTTGATGCATACTAGATTGTATGCTCTCCGAAGATCTATTTTTGTATAGATCTTAGCTTGATTCAGCTGATCAAGAAGTCCGGATATTAAAGGTAGTGGATACCTGTTTTTGATGGTAATCTTATTGAGTCCTCGATAATCAACACACATCCGCAATGATCCATCTTTTTTCTTCACAAATAGAATTGGAGCTCCTGCCGAAGATTTAGTATAGCGTATAAAATTCTTGGCTATATTTTCTTCAATATACTCCTTGAGTTCAGCCAACTCATTTTAAGATAAACTATAGATTGGTCCAAATGGCGGTTGTGCTCCTTCTTGAAGGTCAATTGAGCAATCATAGGAACGATGTTTCGGGAGTGTATCCGCATTCTTTTTTTCAAATACATCTTGAAATTCTTGATATTGACTTGGAATGCCACTTGAAGTCTTTTCACCAGTAGAAACGGGTGTAGCATAAATAATGTATGGTGATTCTTTCAAAACAGCATGCAAGAAAGCTTTTGCACCTATAAATACAGGTTTAATTGAACTGGACTTATGACTCTCTACTTGATTAACTACACTGTTAGTTATACTTTTAGAAAAAGTAAGAGTTTGAAAAATCCACTCTATTTGAGGGTTGTATTTTTCTAACCACGATAAGCCTAAAATGACTGGATTAGAGGGAGATCTAATGATATTAAATACTACAAAACTATTATGACCATTGATTATTACTTCTATAGGAAGGGTTTCATGAGTAATATCTCCAGAAGACAATGGACGACCATCTATGACTTCTACATGAACAGGTTTAGTTTTCTTTACTAAAGATATGCTATGTCTTTTAGTAAATTCTTCATCTAAAAAACACGTTGAGGCTCCTGAATGTAACAAGGCACAGACTTTGTAATGTTTAGGTCCTAAAATAACATTTAATGTAAAACAAGGAGAGGGCTCTGAGGAGAGAATAGGACCTTTACTAGAAGTTGTGCAAGGTTCCAGCCGCACGGTCCCTATTATAGTTGGACAAACTCGTTTTTCGACATATTATCTTCTTTCACAGTCATACTCCTCATTTTGTGATTGCGTCATTTCTTTGGACAATGTTGAGCAGTGTGCTTTGGTTCTCCACAAGATAAACATAATCCTTCTTGACGACAACGAGTCTTTTCTTGCTCAGTAAGAGGTTTGAAACATACTGCATCAATTTGCATATCCTCTACTTCTAAATGTATGTGTTGAAGAGGTGTTGGTGTTGCCATTGAATTATAGTAACGTTGAGGTCCACTTGTACGGTTCTCAGATTGGAATTCAAAAAGGCAATTGTCGCACTTCACAGCAAAGTCAATTGCTTGACTCAATGTTTGAGGATCAGGTAAGTTGAGCATTAATTTTTTCACCTCATATTGTAATCCGTAGAGAAATTGGCTAATAAGTGCAGCATCATCCCACTTGATATCAGTTGCAAGTTGTCGAAATTGTGAAGCATATGACGTTATTGATCAATTATCTTGTCGTAAAATACGGATCTTATTGGTTGCAACACGAATTGAATCATGTTCTCCATACATGGATCGAAACTTCGCCAAAAAAGCCTCTAGATTATCCAATATTGGATCTCGTCATTTAAGAAAAGATGAAAACCACGATAGTACCGAATGTGAAAGAAGCGTACCAATGAATCTAACTTGTGATCCTGGAGGTGGATAGCTTTGGGGTTGAAGTTCAATCACAAGTTGCACTTGATTGATAAATCCTCGAAACTTGGATCTGATGCCATCAAACTTCTCGGGTAGGGCAATTCTTGGTTCTCTAACATTTGAAGGGCGTTCCACCATAGGAGAAAGGATATGGTTTGGTACAGATGCTGAAGCAGCTCCAAACATTTCTATATCTTCACTTCCTGCCAATCTTGTTGCTCCTTGTGGTGATAAATTGAGTTGATGCATTGCAAGCATTAACTTCCTCTATTGTTCTTGCATTTGTGCCATTGCACTATTCATTTCAAGAAGTTCTGCCATGATAATACTTAGAAGAGAGAAGATGTTTAATATCGCTCAAGACAAATAGAAGAGAGGACTTGCGGACAAAGAAAATACTAAGGACAATATCAGTTTAGAAGAGGGTAATCCGCAACTTCTAATACGCTTATATCTTATCAAGAAAAAGGGGTAATCCACTCTTAATCAAGATTAGATAAAGCTCTGATATTATACGTGTACTCTTGTCAATCTGTCAAGGAAAAGAACTCGATGAAAAAACAATTCAGACAAGTGAGCCTTCACTGAAAGAGAGGTAACAAAATATATATAAACAAGTATATATATTGAAAGAGGAACTGGAATGGCTATTGCCAAAAGACAAGAAAACTAGAGACCCTTGAAACTAGACTAGAAGCAAGAAAGGAGTTGACAAGAGTGAAGAAGCCTTCACTCTTGTCTCTATATATATTATCTAACTAAGAGCTACGTGGCGATTTTCTATAGGACCTCCAATATGTGTTGACTTTGTAGGGCACATACCTTGACTTACAAGGCAAGTTTTTCTACGTGTGGGCCACATAGTTAGCTTGATCTTCAAGCTAACAACATGTGTGGCACATGGCCAACTTGTTGACCACGTTTCTAATCCAAAAAGTCAATTAAAGACACTTATAAAGTCAAAGCAGTATCTAGGAAGTTTCTAAGAAGCTTTCATATTAAATATTATAGAATTAACTTACTTTTATCTACTTTTACTTACTTCTACCTATTTCTATATGTAATTATTAGCTTACATGATTATGGCCGTGACATCCTATGACATCTTTGGCAGAAACTGAAGTTGTTAAGATTTTGCATCTAAAATGGATCGCAGATGAAACACCTGATGGCTTCAATGATGTACCTAGAATTACAAGAGTTCTTACTAATGAGGCTCAAAATGCACTTGCTCATATTGCAGTGCCATTGACTACAATACCTCAAGTTATAACAACAACTAAAAAAACTCGTGGACTAGATAAGCAACCATGTAAAAAGAAAGCTATAAAATTGACTAATTCTGGTATTATTTCTCAAGAAATTGCCACTCATCGTGCGGAACTACCAATTCATGATAATATATCCATGCATAATGTATCTTCAATTCCTATGAAAAATAATCTTGGAATTGGAAGGAATAAGAATAAGTTGAGTAAATAATTATCTATTCTGTATTATACTACAAATGATATTTGGGACAGACCATCTATTACGGTAGATGAATCATTTGCATATATGATTATAGAAGCCCTTTCTTGTAAGGAAGGCAATCCTGAACCTCAAACCATCAAGGAGGTGATGCATCGCTCTAATTGGTCAAAATGGAAAACTATTATTGAGGAGGAGTATGCCTCTTTGCTTAAGATGAAAGTCTTTGGTCCAATTGTAGACACTCTTACATCTCGCCTTGTGGGATATAAGATGGTATTAATATGCAAGCGAGATGCTCAAGGTCAAATAATCCGCTATAAAGCTTGTCTTGTTACTCAAGGATTTACTCAATGAGTTGGCATTGATTATGAATCCACATATTCTCCAATTATGGATTCAATTACATTTCGATATATTATTGGAATGACAATTCATGCCACCCTTGAGATACATCTGATAGATGTAGTAACTACATATATATATATATGGTTCTCTTAATGTAAATATTTATATGAAAGTTCTACTTGGCTTGGAAATAGGAACTCCAAATGGACCCGCTCCAAGAGAATATCGTGGTATTAAATTATGTAAGGCCTTGTATGGTTTAAAACAATCTGGACGCATGTGGTATCAATGTCTTCAAGATTATTTAATTACAAATAATTTTATAAGTGATCCACTAATCCCTTGTTTGTTTATCAAACGATATAAAACTGGTTTTGTAATCATCACTGTATATGTTGATGATATTAACCTAGTGGGCACTACATCTGCATGTGTTATAGCTACTAACCTACTTATACATGAATTTGAGATGAAAATGCTAGGAAAAACAACTTTTTGCATTGGTTTTCAAATTATGCATCTAACAGATGGTAGTATTTTTCTCTACCAACTTACATATATTAGACAAATCTTATGAAGATTTAATATAATTGATGCTTATCCATTGTCCACACCAATGGTTGGACGTGGTCGTGATGGTCATGATCCATACCGTCCATGCAAGGAGGAGGAGGAAATATTGGGAGATCAATATCTATACCTTGAAGCGGTTGGAGCACTTTTGTATTTAGCTACATCTACAAGACCAGATATTGCATTTGCAGTTAAAGTTCTTGCAAGATATAATGCATGTCCAACACTACGACATTGGAATGGCATCAAACATTTATTACGTTATTTAAAAAGTACTGAAGACTTGGGATTATTCTACACACAATCCGTAAACTCTAAATTGGTTGGATATTGTGATGTAAGATATAAATCTGATACTGCAACAGTTAAATCTCAAATAGGATATGTATTTTTAAGACATAGAGCTGCAATATTATGGAAATCAATGAAACAAACAATAACTGCAACTTCATCCAACCATGCAAAAATTATTGCCTTACATGAAGCATCTCGAGAATGTATTTGATTGTAATCAATTGATAAATTCATTCAAACAATTTGTGGATTCAACCCTAAACCCTAAACCCTAAACTTCGTTGTCTCGTATATAAGAAGAGAAAAGGGGAGAGGATAAACAATACCCTTAACCCTAAACCAGATCATTAGAATTTTATGTGTGAAGCTCTCTCTAGTTAGAAACCCTCTTGTGTGTATGACTTACTACTACTCTTGTGTCTTTCTAAACATTCTCAACAGTATCCTGCCCACTCTCATATTCCTTAAAAACAGAAATCCTTAAAAAGCGGTTGTCTAAGTCAAATGAATGCAGTACGCTACAATAGTACAAATGCTGTATCATTTGACTCACTCTTGACCGCTATTGATTGTTGTTGGAAATCGCCGTCGAGCTGTAACAGTGCAGAGGAATTTCTATCAAAACCACAAAATCTGGCTTGTGTGTGACTTCAAATCACACCAGTTGGGGTTGCGGAGGGACTGTGGCACCCTACCGAGTCCCCAACCGGTTGCTTAAGTGCCAGGGTTTGGTGTGAAGTTGAATTTGGGTGGTGCGTGCGTGCGTGCGTGCAGAATACGATGGAGTCATCCGAGGAACAGCCTACAAACTTTTCTCTAGTGATTAGTTTGAAGAATCAAATCACAGAGCATTTTGCGGAATAAGGAATGTACGGACCTTTAGACCACACTTGGAGTGAGTTTGCTACCGATTCCGTCACCACATATCAGCTGGCATCTCCTGCTGGCCCACTACGAGGTTTCTCGAACATTTGCTGATGGAGTTGTTCAATTGGAGCTGTCTTTCATCTGTTTAGGTGGACCAGTTTCTTTTCACGGTTTCACTAGTGATCGTACAGTGCGACTTTTCTCAATCTTTTTTAGGGCGGTTGCGATATTGGGCGAGTTAGTCTTTGGTCTAGATTTGCGCTCTGTGACTGTGACCTGATACTCCTCGTGGCTTCATTCGAAGTTTCTGTCTCGCGGACCCGCAGTTGGTTTTGCCGTTGGGTGGAAGATGTTCTTGCCAAAGTATGTCGTGCTCAAAAACTTCGTTCAAAATAAGGTTTGTCGGTGCGGGATTTGGAGTTTTGATGACACGAGTTAGAAGCCGTGGAAGCTTGTAGAAGAGGTCGTTTCAGGGGATTCCTTTGCGATGAAGTTACAATATGAGTGATGGTTACAATCCTGGGAAAATTAGTGCGATGGTTTGAGTAGTTTGAAACTTTTCATTGCCTCAAAAAGTTGGCAGTTGTATCATAGGGTATGGCAGGATGGTTGAAGGGAAGGGTGAAGGTAGGCGCCATACTGGCCTTGTTGAAGGACCAGACCGCTGCTTCTCTAGCAAGGGCAAGCGGGACTTTCCCTCGCTTACAAGTGGCAATTTTAATGGGCACAAGTCACAACGAGTGCCTGCCTGCGGAGAGTTACGTGGAAGAAATTCTTGCTACAGGAACTGGATCTCGCATGCAAGTCACTTACTGCATACAGCATCTTAGGAAGCGCCTGAATAAGACACAGAACTGGGTCGTGGCCATTAAGTGTCTCGTCATCTTGCACAGGTGCATTCTGGACGGCGGTTTCCTCTTCCAAGATGTCCTCTCCTTCAGCTCCATTAAAGAAGCCAAGCAGTATCTCCAGTTTGAAAGGATAAGGTATTCCCAAGCTCCTGTGGAAAGGGAATATTGCTTGTGGGTGGGTCAATACGCCTCTTACTTAGACGCGAGGCTGAGGTGCGCCCATACTTTGAAAACGCATCTTGATTGCAGGTGGAGCGTTGAGATCATTGCGAATAGAGTGGAGTACATGGACACCTCAGAGCTCTTGCATCAGTTGGAAGCGTTGCAGAACTTGATGCATGGTCTTTTCCTTTGTCAGCTTGGAGGTGAATCGGGCGAGCATCCAGTTATTCAAGGCGCCCTGGTGCTTGTGGTGATGGATAGCTATAAATTGCATGAGGAAATCAGGCTCCGCATTCAGGAAATCCTAGACAGAATCGAGATTCTGCAGTTCGCTGAGCTCTTACACGTTTTACATATTTTCAAGAGAGCTATTTCCCAGTTGCAATGCCTGGAGACGTTTCTGGCGAGCTGCAAGGAAATGAGATTGTTTTCTGACTTGCCCTGTCCGGGGAAAGGTGTCGTGTCAAAACTTGAGATACAGAAAGTGACTGAGATGATCCAGAACCTACAAAATAATCCGAAAGCTCCTTCGAATGCAAATTCGGTGTCATTAGGCAAAAACAAGTCGGATGGAAACGCTGCTCTCAACTCGCTCAACATAGGAGGTACGCCTTTGTCCACAGGATCTTCCCTGAGTAGGAGATTCATGTTTTGTAGCTAACGGATACCAGTGTGCTTCTATTGGATAGTTGCAGCTTTCTTTGAAGAGTTAAAATATCGGCCATTTTCAGATAATTTCAGTGCTTGTTATTGTCTTACATACTGTTTCTGTAACCTTCTATTCGTGATTTCTGCTGCAATTTGATTTGAACCTAAAGATCATGTACCTACCTCTGATCATGCAGGTCAAGGTCCTCTGCTTAGGACTACTAGTCAACCTATGAAGCAATTGCCTAGACATGCCCAAGTTACCAATGGATATATGACTCGAGAGTTTCCTTTCATTGCAGAAGAACCAGCCCCACATCGTCATTCTGTCGGTGGCGTTGCCGACTTAATCGATCTTTCAGTGGATATAGATGTTTCAAATTTGGGTAAAGGTAATACAGTCAATTTTCCTCCTTCCACAATGCAGGACCTGATCACATTCTAATTTTTCTGAGGTATATCTCTCACTCTCAAACGTAGATACGTTTTCAGTTTTGGTCACTCAAAACAGATGTTTGCTAGAGGCTCCAGGCAAAGAACGATGCAGATAAAGTGGCTGGCTTCAGCAATCATCCTGGCCCCTGCCTTACTGTTCTATCCAGATCTTTATGACCCATGTCTGAATTGCTTCATTTGTACTCTACAGAAGTTATTGAGCTTGAAGAGTGTACATACGAGCCATGTACACTGGAAGCCCTTTGTTCAGAAAGACAATTCTTTTTCAAACTGCCTGTTGTAAAGACCTGTGCATGTAGGTCCAAGTCTTGGTTATTGGGGTCGGCCATTGTATTCAAGTTTATCTTCCAAATAAACAATGGATTTCAACAAAATGATCTACAGACCTCTAATGTTTGGTTGTGTTGTGAGATAGAACAAGATACCGTTAACAGTAGAAAGAACGTTTTTTTTGAAAGATATGCTATTTGTTTTCCACACATGAAATTATCATTCTGTATGGAAAGGTCAGTATTTAAAAGTACAGATTGTTTTAATACTGTGAACCTGACAATTTATACATAATTTTAATAAAGTTGGCTGGTTATATGAAGAACATTATTAATTGTACCGATCTGAAGTCTTCAAACAACTTTTTGTATATATAAATTTACTTATAACTATAATTATAATATTGTGGATGATTATTTTACTTTTGAATTGCAATGAAATTTCAGAAGAAAATTTATAGATTTATTTGATTATAGAAATTTAAAATCCTTTTCAAATTAAATCATCCACATGAGAACCAATACAGTTGTATGTCACTTGAACTTGGAGTGTTTCGCGGGGATACTCATGAGCTTATCTGCTCTCCCACTTTCTTTGAGTGTTTAGGGCACTAAACTAAGTGAGAGTGGCGCGGTCGACGAGTCTGGAGTGCTCGACTTTATTCATATAATGATTGAAAGAAACGTTACAAGATGGATACCTGTTAAAATCGAAAATGGAGAGTGGAAAGAAAAGAAAACAAGTAAACGAAGCTAAAGAAGAAAATAAATTGAAATATACTTAAAAGATAATTTTTAAAAAACAATCTTAACAACTACTCCATAACTGTTATAATAGTGGGAAACGTTTTGAAAAGCCTAAGAACTTGAGAACAAATACTAGCAGTCATGCATACGCTCTACAGTTCACAGAAGGAGAAAATCAACACTAGAAAATTTCCTTTAAAATGTTCGATCCCAAGAGGGCCAGTCAAACAACAAGTCAACGTACAGCGGAAAACAGGGGAAACGCGGTGCGTGAAGGCCATGGATTGTGGGTGAGAGCGGGTAAGAGAAAGAGGGGGAGCATGGGAGCGGCAAAAGCCATTCAGCAGAGGGAGTGAGTACCTGCATCGGTGAGGCGCGAGCCGCCCTCCAGTAAGACTATTGTTATTATTTTCAGTTCCCACCTTTCTGAAAAAAAGGAACTGCCGCTGCTTCCACTGAGAGTTGAACTCAGGACCTCCCGCTTACTAAACGGGTGCTCTAGCCAACTGAGCTATAGAAGCTGTGGAGAAGTGGGGTATCGATCCCCATACCTCTCGCATGCTAAGCGAGCGCTCTACCATCTGAGCTACATCCCCAGAGGCGCAGCCCTCATTGCCGCGGCAGCCGCCAACGGAATGTAAATGACCGGACATGCATATATTATGCATCCCCGTTCCCCCACATCTCAGTTCTCATGGTAGTATCTCACCTCCCTCCTCTCTTTCCCACACTCAAAATAGAGTTAACAGACAATTCCAGCTCTTGAAATTCTGGGACCAGTATGTGTTTGTACCTACGTAAACATACACTCCAAACCATCAAAAGTCTAATCGATAAACTAGAACGAAGACAATAACGGATAAACGACACCGCCGTGGTGGGTCAAAGCCAAGTGTACGATCGCAGGCGCGAGCGCAATGCATCACAGAATTGACAGGATGGTACCTGACACATCATAAATATTTCATGTTCAATCCAATGCACTGAAATGGAAATGGCCTGTAACAAGTTAATGATCAGAGATGCCCCCACATCGAAAGTAAATCATTCGAGATAGCTTCCGCCAACATCACAAGTCTTCATGTGCCGAACGTTGCCTCAAAGTAGAATCCAGCCTCCACTCTTCCGTACATGCACATATAACACGCTAAACGCAACATCAAACTGAATAATAAAACGTTGCACTCCCTCTGAGAGATAAGAGATATCCGGTAGAGGCATCCTGCAGATGTGATGGAAAATAGTGACGGCATTGGTGTCATAACAGCTAACAAACGTCTCCTGAGAAAACGTGGCCCAAGTTACTGGAAATACACAGCTTGAATATGATGAACATTAACTATTTATGGGAATCCGTCTTCGAACCGATTGAAAGACTATTCCGCACACCACATTAGAGGCCCTACAGAACATCTTTAAGCAACTGAACATATACATAACCGTCTATATACAGTCTCGTTTAGGGTTTGAAAAAAAAACGCTATGACATATGAAACACTGCGAAGATTCGAAAGCAGCAAAAGGACCGCTAAAGCACGCGGCAAAGGTGGTGTTAATGAACACCAGTTTAGGTTTACAAGCCGACTCCAAACAACAGAGTTAGCCTCCGAAGCCGTAAAGAGTCCGGCCTTGTCGCTTCAGCGCATACACGACATCCATTGCGGTCACAGTCTTGCGCCTGGCGTGCTCAGTGTAGGTCACAGCATCACGAATGACGTTCTCCAAAAAGATTTTCAGCACACCGCGAGTCTCCTCGTAGATCAAACCGCTGATGCGCTTCACGCCGCCTCTCCTAGCCAAGCGCCGGATGGCGGGCTTGGTGATCCCCTGAATGTTATCACGCAGAACCTTTCGATGACGCTTCGCGCCACCCTTGCCGAGCCCCTTCCCTCCCTTGCCGCGTCCCGACATGGCTCACGAACTCGATCCACACACCACAGTATACAACGGCAATCAGCTAAAAGGCACGAGAACGGCGAACAAGAGACTGAGATTGATGAGGCAGACAATCACGAAACCCTAACTAAAATACTCGCTAAGTATGACTTGGCTTCGCCATGAAGCTTTCGCGGCACTCGATTCTGGAGCCAAAGTCAAAACTCCCGCCAATTCTACTGGCGCCAAATTTGGTGAGGGTGAGTCAGCACCGGGATTGAGTGCACTGGAGGAAAAGAGAGAATCCAACGGCTTCAACACTAACTTTGATGGTGATGAATGATATTTAGATGATTCCAGCTAGTATAATTCATCTTATAATCATTCGTTGTCTTAAATGCAATTTCTAAGACTGTTTGGCGTATTGTTAATATGCTAATAATCACACGGAAAAAACTCTCATTTGATGAGTTTTAAGCTTAAGTTTGCATGTACATAAATACGTTTGTGCATAAGAAATTCATTTTTTAGAAAAATAGTACACTCTCAAGTATATTCCTTGTGTAAGATGGCCTTAAAAGAATCCTAACATTTGTATTGATCAAAACTAGTGTGAGAGTGATTATATCAAACACTATATCATTAATTTTGAATTCATTTGTTATTCTTCTTCGACAATTCTTCCTCAAAAGACTTGACAACCACGCGTTTAGTCTAATTTTGGAACAATGAGAAAACTAAACAATATAATTTAAGTTTGCTTCCTCTAGTATATTACATGGACTTTAAATTTGAATGATTAAGTGATGGTTGTTTCTTAACATTGTTAAATTGATAATATTCATTAGCAGTATATGCATGTATGTATGTATGTATGTATATACACACAATGTACAACTTCAATTATAAATAATGTTTGTTCATCAACAAGTGTGTTTATTTGCAGGTCGAATTTAATATATATTATTTTATCTGTATCACTCACATTATATATAAAAATAGTAATGTGCAATTTCATGACACGAGCTAAAATAACATTTCAGCCACTATTATAATATAAATAAATAAAATAAAATACACTCATTGAGTGAGCTTTATATTTCTTTCTTATTTTGTAAAATTTGAGTACACTTTGTGTAGTAGATTTATTTTGCAACTTATAGAGTTAATGTCAACTGAAACAGATGAAACGTGGAATAGATGGTCAATATATGTGGTACAGCTTGCCAACGTTGCTATTTATCCATTACTTTGAATAGAGATATAGCCCAAAGATAATGTGTGGATAGTGAAATTGTATCAAAGCTAGTGTGAATTCAAATTTCAAAATCAGTAGTCAGTAATATACATATAAGTATATGAAGAATGGTTATTTAATATTTCTCTCTCTCTCTCTCTCTAAATACATATTTATATAGATATATGGGTGTTATTTATGGATTATTTTAATGAAAGAAGCATCAGGTATAATCACACATAAATTTTTACAAGTGTAAAAAAAAGATGTAAGTATTTTTAGCATTGATTTTAGTATTTATAACATACCTGACATTTTGTTTTCAACAGAATATATATTTTTTCTATTGTTGTTAGTGTATTGTTTTACTATAAATAATTTTGACGCTTTCATAATTTTTTCACATATTAATAATAGTTGAGGAACTTAGGCTATTATAGAAATTCATACCGAAGGAAGAAAATCTTTTAATCCAATAACATCCACAATGTAAGACACTCTAAATTTTATACAAACACCATATCAAATGTATTGTGCAATTTAAATACAAATTAGAATATGAACCGTTTTAGTTTTTGTTTGTACGTGTAGCTAAACTCATAGAATAACCATGTTGAAAATTGGTTTTAAATAAGACGTTGTAACATTAAGGTTGTTGTTGTTGTTGTTGTTGTTTTTTTTTTTTTTTTTTTTCTCGTGGTGTTGAAAATCAAAGACATATTTATAATGCTTTCACAACAGCTATTGTATAACAATCGTTAATTAGAATTGTTGTCAGTGTTACTGCTACTCTCTGGATTCTGTTGGCAACATAATCAAAGTGGTTTCATTCCAAAAAAAACATTTGTACACAGGAAAGCTGCGTGGTACTTTTTGAAAAAGCTGTTTAAAATTTGAAAATCGAAGGCTATAAATGGTTTCTTTGTTATTCTTAACTAGCACAAAAATACACATCTCTTTTAATCGACGTGGCGATTGTACACGTGTACATCCTGCCAACGTAAAATAGCACACGTGGGCCGAGAACACTCTGTACATCTGGAGGAGCCACGACGGATATATTCGTCCAATCGTCGAAAGTCCGGAGGGACCACGTCAGCAGTGGGAAAATCGGGACTGAAATTCTGGTCTCAAAGAATAAGTTTCGGCTCAAGTCTAGAGTTTTGTTGGGATTGGTAGTGTGGTTCCCTAGGGAGAGCTTCAAACCCTAACGGAGGTGCCCGCTTGCGGAGACGTTTGGCTGCTCAATTTCGGGCTGCCGAAGTTTTGCTAATCTTTGTTGGTGTGGTCCATGGGGCTCACGTTCTATGCTGCGCTGCCGTCCGCGGCTGTGCTAGCGGCTTACGTTGCGTTGCGTCAATCCGGAGCTCCTACGTTTGTGACGCTTCCCGTGTTGCATAGTTCCCTCGTTGGTTTCTCGGCAGCCATTGCTGCGCACCCGCGGTTGAATTATACTCCATTGTTTGGGAAGAGAAGTAGCGGGTCGTTTCCGTGGTGGTCTTATTTGGCTTTTTTTCCTTATTTTTTGGCGTTGAAGTCGTATGTCCATCTGCGGCGGTTGAAGAGTGGTGAGCCGGTGTTCACCGAGGTGGAGCCAGGGTTGTTCGTTGGCGGGTGGCCGGCGTTGCAGCGGGACGTGCCGCCGGGGTTGAAGGGTGTGATTGATTGCACTTGCGAGCTGCCGCGGAATGCGTGCTTAGATGAGCTTCCGTATCTGTGTGTGCCGACGTGGGATACGCGTGGACCGCGACCAACGGAAATTGAAAATGCTGTACGCTGGGCGCTGGAGCAGCGTGCCGAGAAGCATCCTGTTCTTGTCCATTGCGCTTTTGGTGCGTGCCTTGTTTCTTTGCTTTGCTATGTGTCTTGATGCAGGGTTTCTTCCTGGACACGGGATGGGTTTAGGCGTATTTCTGTTACGGCAGCCTGAAATTGAGAATTACCTGCCAAGTTGTATGCTACGTTACAAATCTGTCACTGGCATCACGTAGACAACCTTGATAGGTTCCTACACCACAGTCCGGAACCTCGTCTAGACTCGGGTGAAGGTCGGGATGAAATTTTTGGAGAAGATACAGGGGGACAGGAGGTGTCCGTGCAGCTAGACCAAAACTTTAGCCTGTGGTCCAAGTAGATTTGTCCCGGCAGTTTGAATAGCCGAAAGTTGGTTCTTACGGTTTACTGAGATTCCCACAAATCGAACTTCTCCCCCATCATACAACTTAAGTTTAAGTTCCATTAAATATCTGGGAGTGAAAGGAATATTAAATATGACTCAAATTTTTCATTGAAAAAAACAGAAACGCGCTTTAATAATTCGAAGCCTCGTATCCAAGTCCCTGAGACCCGGCTCTTGACCCTCTGCAGTCTTAGAGAAGGACATCTAATTTACCAAGATGTGGATGAATAATGATTTTTTTTGCCAATCGAAACGCACCATCCGGCGTGGTCGGATGTCTCGTTTACGTGAGCTTCAATTTCTGTGCCACAAGCACGATCGTTTCGGCATGACAGGATGAAGAAAGCATCTGTAGACTTCGAGAATTTTTCAGTAAACTTAGAGGTTTATTGAAACCGCACTCTCATGTCTCATGTCTACCTTTACTCTCTCCCGTCTTCTCTACCTCTCACTTTCCTTCTTCTTGTGCACTTTCCTGTTGTGTAAACCTTTTGTTGCTTTACAGAATGAAATGTACCACCACATGTGTTGAAATCAGGCAATTTGTTTTCGTAAGGCTTGTGTAGATGGATTATAGATTACCAATTGAATTCCGGACTGTTGTGCAACTGGAATAAGTAACAGTGTTCTTAAATAGAGTGATTATTTCCTTGCATCTCTGTGAGGATTTTGGCTCCTCACCGTTTTGTTCCTTCTCGTGGAGAATACGACATTCTCTTCATGCCCGGCTACGTTGCGGGACTAAAGTTTTACTGATTGTCGAGAAACTGATTTTGATACGACGTGTTCTTTCGTTGTTTGGGCAGGTCACGGGCGCAGTGTAGCTATTATGTGTGCCATACTGGTCACCCTAGGAGTGTGTGACACATGGAAAGACGCTGAAGTATATATTAAGCTTAGTCGACCTGGTGCTCGATTGAACAAAGGCCAGAAAAAGAGCCTAAACGAATGGGCTGCCATATACGCAATGAAGCGGGAAATGCAGAACCCCGTGGGAGAGGAGATAGATCAATCAAGCGAGGAATGAATTGTTTATTCCCGTAGGAAACAACTAGAATATGGGGTTTGTGACAAGGGTGATGCTTAATGTGGTCTTGGGAAATGCACAGATGGACCTCTTAGGGAACGATTTCTCGATCAACACTTCACTTGATGAAGTTGTACCCTTCAACATGTATCAAATCTCGAGTGACTGAACCGTACTTAACTTCACCCAGATTCATATCATCGGAACATGACGAAAGATATGTGACGATCATTCAAGAAATTCTCATGCAGCGTATGGGTGAACTACGTTGCAATGCAGGTTGCTCTCGAAGATATTCTAATTCTATTTGCAGAGGCTGTATGTACTCTGGTGTTAACCGCTGCAGCTCGTGGCATGAGATGGTATACGAGATTGTGAAGCTGTTGGTGGCGTCCCCACTTCTTGGCAGGTGATGGAGAAGGGTTGTCCATTGAGGAAAAGAGTAGTTGCATTAAAGCACCCCGAGGCATGCATCGTGCTTGTATAGTTGAACTAATTCCTTGCATTCGTTAGCACTACATTTGTGATCTTCGAAGAATTCATTCTCCAGACATGGATGGATTGTTTTGCAGCGTTTGCTTTGTGACAGTTGTAGGTTTCATTTAGTGGGTGAATTTCATGATTGTGTACGTATTGGAGAAATGCAAAATTTCCGGTTACATGTGGTTAAACTAAGCGAAGTTGATATATGACCTTGACTTGTTCTTCTAAATTTGTGTTATCTTGATTAAGCCTCGATTGCAAAATGTAACTTTGTTTTGTGCAATTGAATATGTGATTTTCAGCATCTGCGAAGTCAATGCTTTCTCATCGTTGAATGGAGGTTTATAAGATTGATTTCGGGATCTTAACACCTTAACTTATTTCCACATGCTGTACTGTATCGGGCCGTTGAATGTACCCTTTTCGTTCAGCGGTCGGAGGGTGATGAACAGTTGTTGATCATTGGTTGTTGACTAAACTGGATTTTGACCCCTGTTTCTATTTTTATTTGGATTGGCATAATTAGTTCATTCTGTCGGAAGAAAAGGTGCCAATTTCTCTGTAATTAATGGATGAAACAGTCAACATGTTATTTTTTAGGGTGTATGCAATATTAGGACATATTAATTTTGAAGGGTATAGACAGTGGTTGGAAGGGGCTAGAAGAGGAGAATCATAAGTTTAGAAAATCCATAGAGAAATTGGAGATCAGTAATGTAGTGCCAATGTCATGGTGTCAATATAAGATCCATTGTAAGATACAATTTGCAAAAGGGAGTGAGAATATGTGGGAAACATCAATAGAGGTATGTAGAAAATATCAATATTTCTAGTCTTGTCTTAACTTCAAATTCAGGAATTGGTAGTAAAAACTCCTTGATAAAATCATATATACTTTTTGTTTTGTTATCAAGGGCATCAATTGCACATTCAATTTTATTTTTATTTTTATTTCATTTTATATTATATTGGCTTATATTAGTCTTCTTAGACTGTTTATTAAATAACATGTTTCTTTCTTAATGACTACAATTGCAAAATCACAAAGATGACAAACCAATTATACTTTATAAGAGTAGACAACCTAAACAACATTGCTCAAGCAATTTAATACTCCAATTAAATATAAATATTGGTTTTAATAATATGTAAGTACATTAAATATCTAGTGTAGATGTTGTAGAAATGTGGTTGTTGTGGGTGTATTTTCCTCATATAATCAACATATGTTTTCTAAAATTAATAAAACTGTGTTAATTTTATTACTAATTTTATTACCAATCTTGGTGCCCCCTTGGTCCAAAGCCCTAATGAAAAACAACGTTGCAAAAACAATCCACAACCTCGAATGCCATGCTTCAGTGAACAAACCGCGGAGACCCACGACCGCTGAAGGAGCCGCACAAAGGCAACCGAACCGGAGCGGCTGACACATGGTGACTGTTCTCCGACCCGCGATCCACGTCGACGGCCAGGTAGACTAGGGGAGGATCATGATCCAGCTGGAAGAGGATCAGGAGTGACGTGGTGACAAGCCTCATCTGGATCATGCGCTCCACCCCACGCCCCCGCCCTCGCCCCCTTCTCCCTCTCCCTCTCTCTCCACCTGCTTCACCACCATCACCACGAGGACGACGAAGAAGACGAAGACGAAGTCGAAGAAGAAGGAGAAGGCACCACCACCACGTAGCCGAAGAAGCAGAATAAAGCAGAATAAAGCAGAAGCAGAGCAACCGGACGTCTTGTAGGGTTTGAATACTCTGCGCAGCGGTGCGTGCGATGCGACTTGCGGTGTTTGTCCCTGGCTCACGATCGTTGGAGACGAGGTCGATGACGACGACGACGACGGCAACTTCTTAACAGCTTTCCACGGGGTTTTTTTTTTTTTTTTTTTTTTTTTTTTAAATACTAGAAGGCCGTGCTTTGGACAGTAGTTGCACATGCGAGCTACCCGAAGACAGACTTAGGTGGTAATTAAACGCATAGTTTCCCTAGGAACTTTTTCGGAAGGTCATTGTCTGGGCTTGGGATAAACCCTAAGACATGATAGATTCATGATTAAGTAGATGACGATATGAAATCTTATTGACAGCTTTTTTTATATGTTACAGACGAAAGCTGGTTTTGTTCCTATTTGAATGTACATAAGGTTTATTTCAAAAGAGCGTGCAAGTCCTGGCTTATCATGGGGGCGATGGAGATGACTGGGGCGGAAGAGAAGATGCAGGGAGAAGTGGGAACTATGTCCCGAGCGGCGCCAGTGGATGACCTTTTTGCGCCTATGGGTAGATTGGATGTGCAGTCATTGGGGGTGGGGTTGGGGAGTGAACGAGGAGAGGGAGGTAATGCTTCGTTGTTCAGCTCATGTGCGATTTCAAGCAATGTTCGAAGTCGAACAGCTGAGAAGTCTCCTACTAGCGGTGAGTATGTGCACCGATCTTCTACTTTGAATCCTTCACGGAACATTATAATTCTAAAAATGCAGCAAGAGCATAGGAAGCCACATTTGAACGATAGAATGTGTTTTAGCGGAATTTTTGTCTCTGACTTTAGGACCTAGTTGGCAGCTTGCTAGTGCGCCAGGAATGCTTGCGAATTTGCATATCCTTGAGTCTTCTAGAGCGCACTCTTGGATCTCGCATGCCTCTCGACCTTTCAGCATAGAACAGTGTATTCTCTACTTGTGGTGTGAATCTGTGATTTTTCTTTCCTACAGAGGTGCTTGTTTTCTTGTAGCTATGTTCCCATAAATAGCCAACAACGATGTTGTGAAACATTAGGCTCCTGCTATACGATTTTTGTGTGGCCTTCGATATTCTACAGTTAATACGGAAATAGTGAAAACTTGTTGGGGACGATTTTTCACCATTGGCTGTTGAAGGTGCTTTGTGCAGGACCAAACTTGGCCCTTGATGTGAATCATCTGGATATCTCAGGGTTATCACGGGATTACTATGAAGGTGAAAGGCATGACATAGGAGGTGACACAAGTTTTAGTCCGAGAGTGAACAATCTGGAAGGTCAATCCAATTTTACATCTGATGATGATCAGGTCGTCGTTGATGAGAGGAGGCAGAAGCGGATGATTTCAAATAGAGAATCAGCTCGACGTTCGAGGCTCCGAAAGCAACAACATTTGGACGAATTGCGATCGCAGATTGCACAACTTCGAGCCGAAAATACACACATGCTGAATCGATTCAGTCTTGCTTCTCAGCAGTATGCGCAGCTGACTGAAGAAAACTGTGTACTAAGATCAAATGCTACCGATATGAGACATCAGCTCCAAATGCTGCATCATGCTGCTTCGAGTCACCAACCATTGTCTCTGGAACGTGGCCTTGGCACAGTGCAACCCCTTCCCTTAAATTTGAGTTTGTGTTCTGGTCTAACGGAGGATGCCAATTGGTGATAGCTTGAAATTTGAGCCCCTTTTCAGTTTGGCGTTTGTATATGTTTTTTTGGGTAGGGCTCAGTGTGAAATGTTTCCAGATGAGTTGATTTGCATTAAGCAAATACTCTTAGTACGGATTGATTTGCTTGGATAGTGCCTGTTTGAATGCACGCAAAGGCGTCAAACAGACGTCTCTAGATCAGTTAGCGTGACCGCTGCACTGTTTTGTGCAATTACTGGTGGAAGGGTTCTATGCCTCAAATTTATTGTGGGTATTGGTGGTAAGTCAGGGAGTGCAAAACGTATCCACCGGTCTCACTCATGCGAAAAGAGCATGAGGTATTCCTGCTTTCCGAAGCACATAGTGAAACAGATTGAATTATCTGAGATGACAAAGAATGTCCTACAGAACTCTATCCGAGATCAGAGAGTGATAACATTGCAAGTACTGTAAATCAGTCTGGTTGCGCGAAATTGAGTAGATACGAGTGCGCTGGTACTTGTACTTCACGGAGAATTCATATTGAAGACGAAGTTTGATCTTCTTTGTGAGATGTAAATAACGTAGTTGCCTCCACCAGAATTATGTTGGAAGGATTTTGCAATTATCTAACTGTTGTCACGATTAAGATCGATGTGTACATGCTTTATATTTTATTTGTCACGAAACAGAAACTCCTTTTCGGTACTGACAAATCTTTGATAAGCTGAAGAAATGTATTCATATGGGTGTAAATACGGTGTTTGTTGTGTAGGAATTATTCCGAGCTTGTCACGTTGCATTTATAACCCAATGTAGCATTGACTCTACAGTACCATCTCCCTTTGCCGTTCTGTAATTCGGCTGAAGAATCCTTGCAAGATCTATACTGATTTGCTCCTTCATATACTATCCTTGGAGATGTAACTAAAATTCCTGCAATTGTCTTCTGAATGCTTAGCAGCATCTTTTCCCCTGAGGTTGCCCCCCCCACCCTTGTAACCACGACCGCTCTGTTCATTTAGATCCTTTTCATTACAGCCGACTACAGGTATGACTCAAACTCCAAAAGAAACCAACTTCACAGTGTCGTCACCATCCCGGCTCACTCACGTTGTGCACCAGAAAATTAAGTAGCAGAATACAGTGCACCATTGGCTGTTGAAGGAGACCATGACCTCACCGAGTGCAACAGACCATCTGCTTTACAGTGCACTTCTATTCATGGTAAGTTTTCACAAGATTTTGCCTTTAAGATCGGGTCACCATCGAGTCAATTAAGAAAACAAATACTTCTGTTTCTCGTACTAGAATTATCACGAAGGCTGAATTTAAAAAAAGAATAGATGCACAAGTGGAGGCAAACACACCTGGTCAAACAAGTTGTTCATGATCGAAATAATAACTGTTTGACGTGTGTGTTCGATAACCAAGAGGTTGTGGAAGTAAATAGCTATAATGTATTATGGTAAAACGTATGGACCAGATATGGGGCTCGAGACCGTGTGGCCCAATGGATAAGGCGCTTGCCTACGGAGCAAGAGACTCTGGGTTCGATCCCCAGCATGGTCGTACGTCAGTTTGGCCGAGTGGTTAAGGCGGTAGACTCGAAATCTACTGGGGTTGCCCCGCGCAGGTTCAAATCCTGCAGCTGACGTTTTTAGAGCCCGAACTCTACGTTCTGCAAGTGTACCAAAGACCTTTTTGCTCCACATCTCAGCAAAAAATCTATGCGTACCTCTATGAAATGATCATGGTAAATTATTTCCAGACCACATTTGCATTTGCATAGGATATCCCTTAAAGTTGAGACAGTAAAGTCCTCGCCTCGTTCCGTGAATCTTCCAGCCTTTGTGAGGTGATTTGAACCCAAATTGATCAACAGTTCAGTATTTTGCATTAATGAAAACTTTGATTGCACTGATGGTCTTTGAATAATTCATCATGCCCCGTTAATTCCACTATAGAAGTCAACGGCATTCGATGTTTAGTAGAGATGGAAACTATACCATTGCTTACAGTACCGAGTTCAGCTGCCAATACTCACCTTGCTCTGTGATTCTTGTTTCGAAGTTGAAGAATTCTCCAGATGATTTGCTCCCCGCTGCATGTTACGTTAACACCGACTCAGATGTTTTTCAACTACATTTCGGAGCTTCACTTCAAAGCTTTCAAATACATAGGTATAGATTTGCTGTGACAAGCCGCAATGTTTACATTCTCAGCTCTGATGCACACCATTAGGACTCGATCCTTTCGCTCGAAATCTCCAACCATGAAAGCATAATCGTGATAATACAATTCCATCAGCCAAACTCATATTCTTCCAGTTCCTAGTATCCACAACGCAGCACACTCACAAATCCCTAGGTGACCAATACGAGCCAAAGCCACAACTATTTCAATACCGACGAGAAGTTTTAGCCCAAATACTTCTACGTGAGTCACAAATGCATATCAATCTGGCCAGATGCGACCGCGGACGCCACACGAGATGTAGAGCTCACAACCCCTGAGCAATCAATGTTTACAATAATCATCCTTCGTCCCAGCAACAATGTTTTGAATCCACGGAAACCTAATCAACAAAAAGACCAACCCTAATTGTTCTCCAAGAAGGTGTCTGAAGGACCTCATTTTTGTCCTGAAGCAGCTGCAGGCCGTCTTCAAGCACTTTGATAAGCCCTGAGGAATGAAGGCTCTTCCCTCTTCTCCATTCCAACTGTGAAGAGATTTGTGTCGACATTCACAACTTTGCAAAGTGCCTTAAAATTTAATATAGTAAAGCACACATATATCATTTTTAAGAAGATATTTGAAAACTTTCAGAGGGTATCTTAGAAAGTGAAAGTTAGGCGAAAAAGGCATTTAAGACAATGCTCTTTTGTTGTGGAAGAGAGTCCCAAGGTTGTTTTGAACGATCACGAGGAAGTCCACTCGTGTTCCCCCTAAGTTCCCAAAGAACTCCGTTGTGAACGCATCAAGGGAACTTCACTCCTCCAATTCGTGTCAACCCTAATCCTTCTCACTTTGCGAAGAGTTACCGTAGTGTTCTTGTGGCCTGCTGCTTGGAGATCGAGGTCCCTTTATCCTGCTGCCTCTCTATTCGCAAGCCTAATTGGAAGCAAGCAAATCGCTGAGGACGACGTATTTTCTGAGATCGTTCAGGCTCACAGGTGAGGTTTTACACGATACTTTCCACGTGCCTGGCTGTGTTGTATTTGTAGAGCTTACTGCAAGTGCTTTGAAGTTCATAAGTTTGGCCATTACAGAAGTGGCTCTCTTTTCTTCCAGAGGATAGATGGAAATGTTAGAGTCGCTGTGCTCGGTAGTCGAACTTTTGTTCGTAGCTGCGCGTCTGTTTCTTGTGCATATCCACATGTCTGGATTTTGTCTGCTTTTCTGCTGGAGGTATCTCTGTTAGACAGGTTTTTAGAGATTCTGACGCCGATCAGGGAGGTGACGTCGTTGATTCGCACCTTTGGCAGGTCTCGGTGATATGGAATCATCTTAGCCTGTAGTTATAGACCGTATGTAATATTCGAACTAGGTATATTGTTTCTGCTCTAGGATCTGGCATCTTACCTTACATGTGAGGTTTTTAAGTTTGCAATCGTGTCGTAGGCTTCGTCACAAAGGCACTGGGATGTAATCAACTATGACTTTCTAACTCTTGGTGAGTGTTTGGTCTGCCTAAACTCATCTGGAGTGGAGTCTTCGAGGTGAGCGTTGTCTTTGGAAGATAATTGTTTGTGAGCTGTATTTAAATGGATGCTATTGGACGCATGTCTAATTGGAGTCGGTAATGCCGCAACAGGCTCTACTACCGAGGTAGTATTTGATGTCTACGCTGGGGTTTCTCTCTCTCATTTTAGGTCTTTGAGAGACCCCACGGGATCGGATGAGGATTGCTATGCAGAGAAAAGTTCAGCTCAATGATGAACTTTCAAATGTGAAATATGACCAGGTTTGCAGGCAGCAGTTTCGACGCGCAGCCACTTGTAAACCAACGTTCGTTTAGTATTTTCTCCTTGCTGAATGATGTTGCTTGATACTTGCGCTCAGTTAAGCGCTGCTAGTTTTGTTTTCTTGGATGAAAAGTCTCAAATAAATTCAACAACCTGCTAATTCTTATTGAAGAGCACAAAACCGTGATACTAGTTTTAACGACCGACTATTCACTCTTTTGTAGGCATAACAGCATGGGGAAATTGCAGAAGGGACGCGTTGCCGATCTCTCTCGGACTCTTCAAAAAGTGACTACCTCATTGAATGAGACTTTTGCGTTGTTAAACGAGCCTGCACCTGCTGAATCAGTGAAAGGAGACTGGTCAGAAATACAAAAATCTGCAGATTTGGTGTTCAAACACTCAACCACTATAGGTTTACTGTGGACTCAAGGCCCGAAGGTTGACGAAGCTGCGCAAGCTATGAAAACTTTTGCCGAAAGCCTTCAAGGCCTCATCCTTCTTTGCCACGGTCACACTGTTGGAGCAGGTCCAACTCTTTCTCTAACCATCCGCAATGCTGTTAAGGTTGTTCTTGATGCAGGTCTGTCCCTCTTGACAAGGGCTGTATCATTCTCAGTGAAGGGCTCTTCCAGGGAGGAACGGGAGGGAGCAATACCTGCTCTGGTTGGTTGTGTGTGGGAGTCTTGTAATGCCCTCAAGAGAATGCCTTCCACAAACCGTGCAGCTATTGGGCGCAGCCTAGCCCAGGTTGCTACATCTGTAAAAGACGTGTTGCGAGAAATTGGTGAGATGCGCGAAGGCAAACCAGTTGATCAAGCCGACGATTGTGGTTGTGGACACTCTCATGATGAGTTAGCTACTACAGGCAATCATAGTCACAGTCACAATCATACTCACGACCATGGTCACGGGCCTTGTGGTCACGATCACGGCCATGACCATGGTCACGATCATTCCGGGCATCTTCACACTCACGACCATTCGCATGGCCATGGGCAGTGTGGACATGATCATTCTCACCCACATGCTGGACGTAACCATGCCCCTGCTCATGTTCACAGCCACGGGGGTTATGGCCATGACCACGGCCCTTCTGGACATGCTCATCCTCGTAACCATGCAGGTCACGAGGACTGCGGACATGACCACGAAGAGGCTAGCTCATCGATTGAAAGCCTCGAGTTTAATGACGATCTCTCACCAGAAGAGATGGAGGTCGTGGATGCCACAAAAGGGGTTGTTACATCTGTCCTAGATTTCGTGAAGCAACTGCTTTATGTAGCAGCTGATCGTCAACAAGGTGATGATGAATCTGCCACAGCGTATCTGGAAAACATTCTGAGCCATTGTAAAAGTTTGGGAGTCGAGGCGGACGAATTTGGAGCTTCTCTGTATCCTCCTCAGGAGATCAACCAGCTCCGTGACAGGATCACTAAATCCAGCGCTCTTATAGAATCGATCAAGGAGGAAGTGAAGGCAACTAAAGGAACCGTGCCGGAGGGTCTTGAATTGGCGTCTGTAGCTGTGAAGGATGCACAGGCTCAGCTCACGCAATGTCTGGGGGGGTTGTCGTGAAGCGTTTCAAGTCAACCATTTACTCTTCTTTGTTATAATTTGTCCAGCAATTCTTGGAAATTCGCTTGCTTGGATATTTTTGTGGACATATTTGTTTTGTATCCTGAATCAACACCTGACGCGTATCAACGTTGGCGCCGTAGTTTTTGGATTTGAAAACTGCATTGATAGGTTTCGTAACCTCTAAAGCTGAACACAACCTGGACATGTGTCTGATTCATTTGCAGTTGATTTCATGTTTTAGACCTGATTTCTTTTGTGATCATATCTGCATATGTCCCAGTCTGTTTAGTACGTTACCACTAATCACATCTGCATTTTAGGCACTGTTGTGTTTTTTACAAACCACTTGTTCTACTAAAAGACATAATAATGGAGCCCACACTTCATTAGAAATTACTGAACCTTGTAAATTAATCTCTTCTCTTATTTTTTTGTTTGCTCTCATGTGGATTGTCTTCAGTGGGAGCTGTTAGAAACTCTTGTCACCTGTTCGAATCGCATCATGGAGTTTCCACCTCATAGTTTTTCGAATGCCAATTAATTAAATGAAGCTTGTTATCATGAGCTTACTCAAAGGTCACTTTGTCAGGGCAATAGGGGCCGATTCCCGTAGCGTTGAGAATCATGGGTCGTAGAAAATTGATTTTTCCGCACGGTTATGTGATCAATTACTATTTTTGCTGAGTTTCCCATGTGCAGATTAGGTGGGAACTCTTTGGTGTAAACAACACTTTCTATTCAAAAAAGATAAGAATCACGATTTTAAACTATTATTTCTGCTTTTGACATTTTCTTTGGAGTCAGGACTAAAAGTTTGTTTCGAAATGAAGTTCCAAAAACTTAAATGAGAACTCCATTTCAATACGATTTACCACACCAATTTTGTAGTCTCTATAATTAGCTAATTGAGTTTAGTTAATAACTTAACTTTTACTTCTGTGTAAGACATTGCAACAGCACTATTTTGACATGATGGTTTTCAAATATTGTATACGCCTAATTGAGCCTCCCAAAATGCTGAATTGCCCACATTTCCTACTACTCTGCTAATATAATGCAAGTTACACATCACACTATCTTGGAAATGGTTTTACAATTTCATATCATTCTGAACAATCAATATTCCTCATGGAGCTTTCTAAGGAATTTTACACCAATTTCGTTGTCATTTAAGTTTTGTAAATACATAAAGTACTTAAATTTATATTTTGGTTGTTAGTCAAGTGCCACATAAAATTAATATCTACAAACTCTTTTTTTGATACAAAGGTACAAATATGGATAATATTGATTCTGATTTTAATTTAATTTAATATAATTTCTTTTATGAAACAACATGGGTGGATCCTATGCAAATTTGTGTCAAGTGAGGTTAGAAATTTACAGTTGGGGTTCAAACCACCAACACGTTCAGAGCCATATATATAGAGCAAGAGTGTGAGAGAGATATTTTATTGTAATTATTTTTGTGTTCCTGGTACTAAGAGTAGCATCTCAGAATTTTACCAATAACACCTTACAAAACAACAAGCATTCCACTTTTACAAAAAAACTCAACAAACTATCTACAAATCTAATCAAATTAAGGATCAAAAAAGATACTAGAAAGTTTCAGAAAGCAAAGGCACTCCACTTAAAATTCAGATCATCACTTTTTGGCCTCGAAGAAAGAAAAAAGAGGATGAAAGCATTCATTGTACACTTCACAAACACACGCACCATTTTTCATCACCACACCTGCACATGTACCCATTCGCACACAAACCCAGAGATTCTCCAAATGTACTGCATCGGACGATATACCAGCCCACCCTCCTGAGTGCCCGCTCGCCCTATGGCCGAGGGCCCCAATACCGTTCGATTGATGATTATGGTAAATAGTGTGGGGCCTGCTGGGAACATATAGTGTGACCCGGAGGGAGATGACCGGGAAAAAGCACCGAGAGGGCAGGCTCGATTCCATCTATCCATCCAGTGGATAAGATACACTTCGCCATTGGCCGACCCAGCCTTAGGGACTCTAAAAGAGTATCCCGCCCGGGCATTCGACGGGTCTGCGCCGGGCCCGCCCGTCGCCACCTTCTTGCTCGTGCTAGCCCCACGCTCCTCGCCATAGCTACTACATTATCCATCTCCAATCCCCTACTTCGCTATCTTGTTCCGGCCTAGCTCTGCTTGTTGTTGTTGTCTTTGCTCCCCGGCATCGCCTCGCTCTGTCGTTGCTCAGCTCTCGAATTTTTCTCCGTTTTTTTCACGTTTTTCTTACGTTGAAAAATGGCTTCCTGCGCTGCATCCATGACAGGGGTGGCTGCCTCCAGCCTCTCCCTCAAGGCTAACTTCTCCGGCCTGAGGCGCGGAACTAAGGTGGACTCCATCGCCATGAGTCGGAGTTCCTCCTTCGCTAGCAAGACCGCCATCGCTAAGTCGTCCGGCAAAGTCACTTGCGAGGCCAACACTGCTCTGACGATCACCCTCAGCACTGGCGCCCTGTTGTTCCTCGGCCGCTTTGTCTTCCTCCCCTTCCAGAGGGACAATGTACGATTTCTTCCTGTTTGGGTCTTTTGTCGCTTTGCATGCTGTTCTCTTACTTGATTGAGATCGCGTGGTTGGATTGGGAGCTACCGGGATGTGTGAGAGGCGCTTCCTCGTAGCTGGATGATTCAGCTCTGCCCGTGACTGAGCGCGCTTCACTCCTTGCGCTGTGGAAGCCCTCGCACTGTCAATCGTATTCAAATTTGAATATCGTTATTTGCGTGTCCATGGTAGGAGCCTCAGTCTCACTTGACATTCTGACACTTAATAGAAATCATCACTCCCGTGTATGTCCAGAAATGTCTCGACCTAAATATTTACCGAGAAGGTGGTGAGGGCCGATGTGCTTAGCCCTGGCATCCTCGTCCTTTCGGTCAAATGCAATTATTTACAACGTCTTCTCTATGAGTGGACTGTGGCGAACCTGCCCTCTGAATTTGTGGCCGACGTCTATGCAGGTCTCGAGGCAAGGACTGCCCGTGCAGAACGGAGTGACTCACTTCGACGCCGGTGACAGCCGTGCTCAGGAGGTGACCAGCTTTTTGAAGACCAACGACCCCGCTGGCTTCACCATCGTAGATGTGTTGGCATGGGGTGCCTTGGGCCACGCTGTCGGCTTCTTCATCCTGGCAACCATCAACAATGGTTACAACCCCCAGTTCTAGACTCTGTATCAGTCGACTCTTCTTGAGTGTGGGTGTAATTCCTCCCATAACCTAGTTCTGCCCTCAGCTAAGATTGAAGACCAAGATTCTGTAAATTGAAAAAGTTTTGTTTCTACTCATGTCTCTTTTCGCATCTTGGTGATCTTAATGTCAATTCTATCCAGCGATCAGCCTGGCTTGATTGTCTTTAGCTCGTGACGCAATGCCTCGATGTTCCATTTTCGAAACTTTGTCCTGAAACAGTGACCTGAAATTACACTCTTGTGAAATTAATTTGGGACATGTCATTGAGTAGTACGTAGTGGTCAATCACTTCGAACTAATTCGCCTTGCGAGGAGAAGTGCCCCAACGAACTTGCAACACGACCAGTCGCAGCAGATGAACCCTCCTCAACTTTAATGGAAGTGTGCTAACGAAGCTAAAAATCTGCACACCACTTCGTTCTGATACAGAATTAGATGTGATCACCCACTGCTAGAACCCTCCCGGTATACACCCCTCTGCAAAACGTCGACATGAGAACATGAGAAAATAATCTTCGAACCATTCCACCATCCTTCCTAGCAGTAAGTATTGATGAATGCAGGTGTATGTCTGAGACGGTAGAATAATATTCTGTCACAAAAATATATATAAATGTATACAAATAAATGTATGTGTTATTACAGTGTAGCACAAGAGGTATCCTCTGTAGTCTTCTTCAATTAAGGACTTCTCTCCATTTCCATTCGTAATACCAATGCAATAAAACTTGAAGATGATTGTTGTGCCATTACTATAATAACACATACATTTATTTGTATACATTTATATACATAAATGTGTACATACATATTTTGGGTTACATTTTCATAGCTACGGTTAAATGATATGGATTCCAGAAATCGTAAAACGTGTCACGAAATCACAGAAAATTGTAATTTTTAATTGAACTAATGCATTCGTCATGGATGTTTGCACAAGAAAGAAGTATACACTCATCGGTTTGATGCTATTTTAACGTGGTATAAAACTGAGACTAATTTATAAGCAAGTCTTACTGCGATATCTGATTAGTTCATTTCTTCTTCAGATTTTTTAAATATTTTGTTTTAATACTGTTGTTTAAATTTACCTTCAAATTATTGATAGTAATTTATTTCTAAAGCTCATACTTTTTAAAATATGAAGTGAATCATGATATTTTGACATTGATTTTATTGAGGAATCATATAGAGAATTGTTAAGTAGACACCTACATTTTATTATATGGATACCTCTTGTGCTACACACCCTCACATACACACTTTTCAAAAAAAAAAAAAAAAAAAAAAAAAAAAAAGTTTTGACTTCAAATCGTTATTTTTTTATATTTATTACTTTAGTTTCAAAAAATTACATGTACTTATCCATCTATATTCTTTGGTACCATGTTATCTCATTCTTCAATTTATTTGTCCTTGCAAACATTTTTCAACTTAATTTTTGAATAATAAAAATAACATAATTTTTGAAAGATATGTTTTATATGTCAAAAAGAAATAAATCAAAAAATGTCATTCAAAATCAAAACTAGTTATTATTTGGAGGACTGAATATGCAAAGGTACATGGCATGTGAGGTGTCCACATAATAATAGGAAGGTATCCACCAAGCTCTTTCCATCAAATAATAAATCAATATCAAAATACAATGCAGAATAAAATCAAAACACAATGATTTGCAAAAACTATTATATTTATTTTCCAACTTAGTAAGTCTCTATACTTAGGATATAAGACGAAAAGATACACTTGTTTAATTTTCGAATTAATTGAAATCAAGAAGACTCACTAAATCAGTTTTATATTTAGAAAATAAGTTCAAAATCCCTATGAGAAAAAGATGAGATTTCATGCATTTGTTTTCTTTCAATATGATACGAATGGTGTTGTTCCCTGTAATTTTCATTGGATCCATCTCAAGAACTAATAATTTGAAAATTAAAAAACAATAAAACTTAATATTATTAAAAACCAATAATAACAATAATAATAACAACAATAACTGAATTTATCTTATTTGGTCAAAATACATGTTTGAAAGTCTCCAAGAAGAAAAGGAAAAAAATTAGAAGGGCCTAGGTTAGTTCCCAACAAATACATATATATATATATATATATATATGTATTTTTTACAAAAATATTATAAATAAACTTCACATCAAAGTTGCATTGTGTCTACCACATCAAGCACCCACATCCCGAAAGAGCCAACAAGACCTCAGGGCACAACACCCCGATGCTTTAAGACCTGGAAACGGACGAGACGTGGGACCTGGGACGCAGGATACGTATTAGGGTTTGGGGGCAGAGGGGGACGGGGCAGCGCTGGCTGGCTAAAGAGGAAGGGAAGGCGATATTGAAGCTCTTTCGCAACCAAGCGCCGCCCCGTCTCCTCCCCGAACTCCCCCGTTCACTTTGTCGCCCCGCGCTACCTCGCTCGCACCATGGTCTTCCGCAGGTTCGTCGAGATCGGGCGCGTCGCCTTGATCAACTATGGCCCCCAGCATGGCAAGCTCGTCGTCATCGTCGACGTGATTGACCAAAACAGGGCCCTTATCGACTCCCCTGACATGGTCCGCACCCAGATCAACTTCAAGCGCTTGTCGCTTACCGATATTGTCATCGAGATCTCCAGGATGCCTAACAAGAAGGCTCTCAAAGAGGCAATTGAGAAGGGCGAGGTGTACAGCAAGTGGGAGAACAGCGCCTGGGGTAAGAAGCTCGCCGTGCGTCAGAAGCGGGCCTCTCTCAACGACTTCGACCGCTTCAAGGTTATGGTGGCGCGTGTCAAGAGGAGTTCCATTGTTCGTAGAGAGCTCGGAAAGCTGAGGAGGGAGAAGGCCTAGAATGCATCTGGTACATTCCTGCTTCTGGTTCATTTTTTTAGGTTAGGGTTTGGTCTTCACATTGGGTGCCAGTTTGGTTTTGGTACTTTATGAACTTTAACTTCTAATCCTCTCTCTCTCTCTCTCTCTCTCTCGCTCTCTGCTTTATTTATTTATTATTTATTATTTATTTTATTTTTCTGGACTACCAGCCGGGTCAGGGTTTTCTTGAGAAGAAGGGGTGGAGTTCTGTATTGCCGTGCAATGAGACATTCATGAACGCTTCTTGGATATTGTGCTGGTTGCTGCGGAGGTGTTCATTTTGTATGAACATGTCCAGATTAGGTTATTGTGAAGAAACCTAAAATTGAATTCACATTTTGGTTTCTTCTGCTTCATAGACACAAATCACACATATTGCGCTAGGTTTCGCCGGTATTGTCAGTAGTAAATACGTGGGTTCAGCGCACGTACACCCGGTATATTTTTTCATTTGTGGGAGGCACATCAGGAATAGATGTCAACGATGGCTCAACTCCTGGCTTTCGACGTCTTGAGTTAGTTGTCTACTTGAGAGACGAGTTGCGGGTACTCTTCCATGTAGTGAACATGTCGATTTACTATGTTAAGAGGATCATTGGCGAGGTTGAGATGAAGGGGTGCTTGTATGTGTGTGAGTTATGTAGATTTGGGACTCATCATTTGGGAAGTACGCCTGGTTATGTAAAATGGATCTTCTGCATTGGGTCATTATCATGTTCTAAGGCTCCATAGGGACCATATTTGTAATCTTGGAGACATAGTGTACCGAAAATAGTACGTCGATTCTCGTAGTTCGATTGAACGGAACGCTTGAAACATTCTAACGTATTGGTTGGAGATTATGGTCTGTGGGGTTCGTTGGTTTTTTTAATAACAAATTGTTTTGTATTGGTGGTTACAAATCAACAGACTGTGAATATGTAAGGTTTGTTTGAAGGTCCTTGCATCGATTCATTGAGTCATAACTTTTCTTTCGATTGTGCAGGGATTGACGATATTGTACACTTCCGAATAGCCCTCCGCATGGGAGTTAGATGCAGTCGAGTCTTGCTCCCTGTTTTCGTTTCATAAATGAAAAGTTATTGGGCAAGCGCTCACCTTCCCATTTTGAGAGTTTTGACCAGCAAACTGATGTGCCTGATTCACGATGTTACGGTGTGATGCAAATCGTTCGGAATTCGTAATATACCTTGTCCACCACTTTCTCTTTCCGAGGTAGATAAGGCTTATTGTTCAATCGAAAACTCTGCACCTTTAACATGTCGGATATTTAGACATTAGCACATTATATTGCATTTGAAAGATTAAAACCATATTAATAACGAACCTGTGCATAACAGCCGCATGGCGTAACCCTGGACTCTGCTTAATATGTGTGCACTATCCTGGATAATGTGTCTAAAGCTAACTAACTATAACGGTATATTATTCATGTCGGACCATTTAATTCTCATCAAAAAATACCAGAATTCCTGTCTATCTACCAGTACTATACTAAAGTTTACTGAAGACGAGAGGTCATCAAACCTCCTTCATTGTTGACACAGAGATCTTGTGGTGAAGCTGCCAGCTTCTGGACAGACATGCTAGATTGTGAACCATGAACTCTTGCGTGATACTGCTATGTTGAGTACAACCAATTATCTTGAATTGTCTTGCAGTTAAGCAGTCGAAGGGGTTTGGAAGCAGCTCCAGATCTAGTGAAGACCATTGAGGATATAAATTGATGTTGGTACCAACGGATTCATCCCACAGATTGAAGAATAATTGCTTTACATGATTTTCACCGCACTCCCTCAAAGGGTTTGACATGAATTGTGTGTTCCAAAGGTGCACTACTTACCCTGCAGTATCAAAGTCCAATTTGTTGTATCATTTTTGCGTTCCACTAAAACATGATCAATTGATAAATTGTTTTTTGCTTCAGGCATTTCTGCAAGGGCACATCTCGGCCCAAAATTCATGAGATATTAATTAAATAAAAGTTTTATGATGGTAACTGCTTAAAGTCAACGTTGGAGCCTTTTGGATTACAATTGATACTGTTTTGGGTTCAAGTTGTCTCGTCAGTCAAGTCTGTTTTCATTCAACAGTGTGTACTTTTCATGATTCCAATATGTGAGACACTTATGCATTGGCAATATATATTTCTTTACAACCCGTTTTCATGTCACGATGAACAGAGTGTGTGTGTAAAATATATATATATATATAGTTGAGATTAAAAAAACCATAACTTTCAAATAGAACACAACGAAAGTTATTGAATTATCCTTAAAAAGTGTTAGGTATAATTGAAGTATTAAAATGTAACCATGTATATATATATAAAGAAAAAAATAATATATATATATATATATATATATATAAGATTATTATAGTGGTTGAAAAAAAAGTAACTTATATGATTGTTAATTATTTTATCTAATAGGATTATTTTTAATTATTAAGTGATTTTTCTTTTGATTTGTAAAAAATATTGCTATAAGTACCTTCAATTTTTAATTCTGCTTGCTGGTTTTTGGAAAAAAATGCATTGATAGTTGAATTTTGAAATTTTATTAACTGAATATTATCAATTTATATATATATATATATATATATATATTACAACCTACAAATTTGTGGGTTTTAGAAAAGCATATTTCAAAAAGCACATATAGTTTTTGTTAAAAAATAGTTTAATGAGTATGCATAATTATTCTAAGGAAGCACCAGGCGGACACCCCTCTTTTACTGCATGGAAACCCCCTATGCCACACATCCTTTCATGCACAAAGTAAAACTCTTATTTACACCAAAAGGCTTTAGAATAAATTTGCAATAATAGATTTGTGTGCAATGACTCCAGGTTTATTTTTTCTGATTATATTTGACTAAATTTGACAATTTTTTTAATACACTAAATATAATTCTTTCATTTTTTCAAATATAATATTGAAATATGATATTAATCTTATTTAAGAAATCTTTTATTGTAAATTTAGCCTAATAACAGTTTTAGTGTACATATGCAGGATATGTGGCATAGTGGGGGTTTCCACATAGTAAAAGAGAAATGCCCACCAAGCAGTTCTTTTATTATAGTCAACATCATTCTAAGTTTGTAAATTGAGAAAGTTGAAGGTGATCATTTCAAAGTTAATTTTTTATCATAACAATCTCATTTTAAAGATATCAAGTGAATAATGTATATTTATAATTTATATTTTAACTTTTGATATACTAAATTTTATAATAATTAATAAGGAAATCAATTTTATTTGATGCAGGTGAGTGTGGCACCTTTGTGAAAAAATGTGTAAAATTGTGTTTTTATTGTATATATATATATATATATATATATGTATATATAATTAAAATAAGTCTAGAATATCAAAAAGTATATTTTGCAAGTGTGCTAGCAAAAAATTACAAATCATCAACGACACTTCTAATTAGACTGCTACAGTGGCATGATTCTACAAAGAATGTTATAAATTTAGAAGAACTTGATTTTATTATGGCTTTTAAAAATATAAAAATTGAATATTTTATTAGAATTTGGACCATAATAAATTATTAATTTGTAATTATTTTTAGTAATTTGGTGTATTAATCAACATGATACATATTTGAGAAGATTTGATTTTTATTTTTAACAATTAATGTATATCTTAAAAAAGATGTCAATTCACTTTAAAAAGATGCCAATTCACTTAATTTAAATTATAACAATGTAAGTTGTGCATTATTTTTTATTTGCATATAAGACATAGTGTTATAGCATTTTCATGCATTTTACTATATAATCTTCGAATATCCAGTTTTATTTATTTATTTATTATTATTTTATTATTGTAATAGATATTTATTATATTATATTATGATTTATAATTATTAAATTGTAATATATGTATAAAAATTTTCACACGTACTTTCATATATATATATATATATACATATATACATCATTTAATCACCAATATTTAAATATTACTTAATATTTTATGATCAAATAAAGATTTATTAGACTAACAAAAATGTTTTGAGATTCTACTTATTGTTGGAAACATGCTATAATTTTTTAAAAAATAAGATATTACTTTTCTTTTGTATAAATAATTTCTAATAACTCTAAATTTGATCTACAATTATAAGGCAAAATTTAAATATCTTATAGATAACCTTGGTTGGAATAATAAAGCCTTTATGACTTGATTTCTATATGGCTTAACAAACATTATGAAAATTTTATTGATTACAATGATACAAGTCCATAATTTGGAAGAACTCATGTCTTAAGCTATCACTTGCAATAACAACTTATTTGAATTGCAACAAGAAAAACAATGGAGTTGTAGTAATGTTTATCAAAATATAATTTTTACTCTTTCAAGAAGTATTTAACAAATCCTAAAATTATGCAAATCAATGCAACTTAATTTAAGCCACTCATTGATCAAGAAAAGAAGCATAAAAGTGAACTTAATTTATGTGTGTATTGTAAAAAACGTGGTTATAAGATGGAAATTGTTTTGAGAAACTCGAGCGCATAGAGTAGATAAAAAATCCAACTACATCACTAAATGCTTTGTAGGAAAATAAAGACTGTTTAGCTATAGTAGAGGCCATATAATTGGATACTTCTATTTTTAAGTCAAAAAAGATCCTATACTATTAGTTAGTTTTTTAGTTTTTTTTTAATACCTATTTTTTAGATATTCAAAAACTTATGGTCTATGCTTTACTACATTGAAGATCTTATGTTTAATTTTTTGATGAAGAATTTTCAAAAATAAGTTTCCTAAAGTCAAAAAAAACTTAGATTGTCCATGTTGAAGTCATAGATGGTTGATCCTTATCTTTAGGAGATGTTATTCATAAAACCACTCCATTAGAGGTAACATCAAAAAATTATAGTAGCCAAGTAATATTCAATATTATTAACTTTCTATCCAATTATTAGGACTCTCTTAGGTCAAAAGACATAATCTGCATATAGATTGGATATATAATAAAATAAAAATTATATAGTAGAACCTCTTCCTACTAAACTTGGTAAAGGATCTCAAACACATCATAGATTCAAGTTCACAAAGCCTTTTTTTTTGGAATAAGAATATCCATTACTATTGATATTTGGATTATTAGATTAATTAGATAAAGCAAAGATCTACACTAAAATAGATCTATAGGAAGCTTACAACCTAATGAGCATTAAAAAAGGGGACAAATAGAAGACAACCTTCCAAACAAAGAATAGGCACTTTGAATACAACATCATGCCTTTTAAACTTACAAATGCAAATGGCCATCTTCTAACATATGATGAATTTCTTGATGACTTTGTTATACATTATATGGACAATATCTTCATTTATAAATCCTAAAAATGCATGAAAACATGGTTTCTTGGTTTTTCCAAATACTCCCAAATACTGGGCTATGTGCCAAGTTAGAAAAATGCATATTTTATAAAGAGACACAATTCTAGTCATTACTCAAGGAAGTGCAGTTTCCAAGATATGAGTTGCTGAATGGCCCAAAATTCTTAATAAATTTCTCACATGTGATTGCCATAGTGAGATTACTTATACAATTTAGATCCAAATGCAAATTATCATTTGTCAAGTTTTTTTAGTACTTTTAGTTAGCTCAACATGCAATGTAGCCAATACAAGTAAGTTGGAATGGTGTTATACTTGTTGTTTTAAGAAGATCTGTCCTAGATACTCATGGCTTAGTTTAATTGTTTTTCTTGGAATATATATGTAGAATCTAGAATTAAATGATTCCTTATCATTTTTGATTTGGAACAACTCTATGAACCTTGTTGTTCTTGCATGAATATTGCATGAGTGATTTGTGTATACTCAGGGCAGTAAAGGAACTCAGGTGGATAATTACAATGGATTTAGCTCTCTAGGAATGTCATGGAGTTGTTGCAATTGAAAATGTTGTACCAAGTCATGGAGGTTTTTGTAAATTTTGACTGTTGTCGAGTATGGACTTAATTGCTAAGAGTATTTTGTAAGTATATTTCTTGTTTTCTCTCTCCCCGTTTCAGCTGAACCTTCAGAATCATGTCATTTGGATTTTGTTTTCAATCGTATTCAGTGATATTTTTTAGTCTTTGGCCTTTGAAGTTTCATGTTTTTTGTAGCTTTCTAATGTTTTAACTCAAAACATTATAATTGTAGGGATTACATTCTTAACAATTCGTAGGTTTTTTTTAGCAGGGTTCATCTTTCATTATGATCATATACATGGTATTTGTAAGTATGTTCAATTGTTAGTTGTTCAATTTGCTTGTCAAAAAGCAACTCAATTTTAAAGTTTTCTATTCCAGGAGGTTAAAAGCATCAAAGAAAAAGTGAAGGAGGTCATTTCTTCTCGTACTATTTCTTTGTAGCTTCGAATAAGATTGAACGTACAAGTTTAGATAATGATTAACATGCTTTCACTGATATTTTAAAATCATACACAGCTTTATTATGCAATTGCACCTTCCACTTGAAATTTTTTTGCATTGAATTTAAGAACAAGACTCTCTTATATTTTGAAGCAAAAAGGCTGGAAATCCAATTCCATTAGTTTTAAGTATTGAGCTCTAGCAATAAACAAATATTTTAAAGATCTCTTATTGGATTTATAAATTGACTCAAGTTGATTTCTAACATTAAATTGAGGCAAAGTGTTCAGCAAAGTGTTCATCATGTAATGTAAGGAGAATGTAGGCCACTTCAATAATTATATTTAGTTATTAAATTAAGAACACAATATCCATCTTTGAAAACTATCACATCCATATCTTACAAGTTTTTCCAATTAATAATCACTAAGAAGAGAAGAGATACTATTGACCATTAAGGATGCTTTAGAAGTGATAAAGAGACTTCTAATGAGATATATTTGGGTTGATAGTCTATGCATCCTACAAGATGATGCAGTTGAGCAACAAAATTATATACTTCATATAGACTCCATTTATGGATTAACTTCAATCACAATCATTGGTGCTTTAAGAAACAATTCTAATGCTGGTCTTTCTATTATTAGACCTAATTCACAAACTCACAAGAAAAAACCTTTTACAATAAGAGAAATCACATTATTGCAGACCCTTGAACCAACATCTACAAGTAAACAATATATTGGAATATGCATAAGTTATCTAGTTTAGTCTAAATGAAACATGCAAGGGTAGACCTTGTAGGAGAAGGTTTTTTCTAGATGGGCATAGATATTTACAAAAGAGCAAGTGTATTGGGAGTATTGTATAGCTGCATGGTGTGAAGAAGACATCATAGAGGCAAGGAAACTATTAGAAGTTAGACATTCTCATTTATCTCTTTCTGGCTATTTTAGCCATTTTTAGCTTTAAGATGAGACTTACTTCATAAGCTTGTATAGAAAGCTGATTGAAGAATATTCAAAGCAGATATTGACCTATGAAAAAGACGGTTTGAATACATTTGCACAAATTTTGAATTCTTTTGAAATAGATGCACACCAACCTTTTCGATAGGCATTATCAATCAATTTCTTAAGCAATGTGCTTTCATGGCATTTTGAATCCAGATGCTTATATAAAAGAAGAATGGATAAGTATATTATTTCTATTAAAGAAGCAACAACCTCTTTCAATAAGATAATCATTGTGTATTCTTTTCTAATCTGGTCTTTAATTGAATGGATGGGCAATCTAAGATTCATAGATGAGTAGAGTCAATTTATTGATAGTAGAGAAGATGCAAAGACAATCAATTTGATTGTTTCCTATCTCGATGGTAGTGGCTTGCTTAAAGAAGTTGAAACAACTTGTTTAAGTCAAAGACTTTCTAAGATCCACATCAAGGAGAATACAAATAGGAAGGATGTTATACTTGAGGACATTCAAAACTAAGTGGGCTAACTTATGAATATCAATGGAGAATTTTGAACATATTATTTTTTTGGAGCAATACAGCTAAATTACAAGCCTAGGAAGGCTACTCAAGCTTTTTATAAGTGACTTATTATGCCTAATTTTATATTGTTTTACAATTTAAAGGTTTATGTTAATAATTTTCGTGTTCAAGTTAATTATTCATAAAAATTTGGAATACATAATAATCATGTAATAATAATCTATATTATGTATAGATGTGCGTATATGGATTTGAAGATAAGATATATATATATATATATATATCTATCTATTAGTTGTATTAAAATAATAATTATAATTATAATATTATTTTATTATAAAAAATCTATTTTAAATAAGATTATTTTATCAATAATTAGTTTCAGCCGTAGATGTATATTGAGCATTTATTAAGAGATTATATTAAAAAAATATTAAAAATTATTTGAATATAATTCTTAGATTTTTTTTGAAGAAGCATATATTAAGTTCTATTAAATAAAAAACTAAGTTAAAAATAATCTATTATAATGTACATTCTTACATAAAAGAATAAATTGCCAACTTGGGCTTGTACAAACAAGATTGCACAAGTTTCTTCTTGTATTAAAATTAAATAGATTTATTAGATATCATAATTTTGTATCAAAAGCCATCTTTTTGAAACAGTTTAAAGCTAGACTTTCAATGTGTTGTTGTTGAAAGGCGAGATTGAATGGAGACAATATTTATACATAATATTATGGATATACATATTTACTTAGATAAGAAGTGTTAGGTAGAATATTAATATAGGTAGATTTGATATTCTACCTTACATTTCTTATCTAAGTAAAATGAAAAAGCTTCTTATAAACTTCATAGATGAGTATTTGACTTTATACATGTTTATAGTTGATTAATAGGTTAAAAACTTGTCAAATAAGTTAGCCAAGTGTCGCACGTGTAGATAGCTTGTGGTACAAGCTTACCATATAGTATGCATATATAAACTTGTCTTATAAGTTAAGACACATGTTTCATAATTTGGACACATATTAGAGGTCATATAGAACGTTGTCACATAACTCCTAGTTAGATAATATATATGGAGGCAAGAGTGAAGCCTTATTCATTCTTATCAACATCTTTCTAGTCTTTAATCTTGTTTCAAGACTTTCTAGTCTTTTTGCCTTTGGCAATAGCCATTCTAATTTAGTATTATACTATCTTTAAGTGATTTTTTAATCTTTTTAAATAATACAAGAATGTATTGATCTTTTAATTCTCTAAGATTTATGTCCTTGATAATTTGACAAGAATGCTAATTTTTTCTTGTTTTGTTTTAAAAATAAGTGGATTATTCTATTTTTATTGTTGTGTTTTGAAGGTTGCTAACTATGTATTTTTAAATTAACTTTTATTTTTTTAAATGTTGATTGTCTTTCTCAAAGAAAGTGAACTACTCTTATATGTAGAAATTTTTATTTGGTATTAGAGGTTTTTGAATTACCATCTTCTAATTTCACTTATGAGTTTATTTGAGTCGTTTACAGAAGGAAAAATTATGGATTTTACTCATAATAGAAGTAAAAATAGATTTGCACCTATTGCTTACAGATCTTCATGAGTTTATCAAAACTCCCTTTCAAATATAAATATGTATTTAGTAGTCAAATTTTTGTGTTAAATTTTAGAAAAGAGTTTAAATATATATTCACTCACACACAATATTTGTATATCTATCAAACAAATAGCAATCCCGAAATCCTTTCCTAAACTTTCACACAAAAGCGGCGCAAATCCCACCACGAGCACGAACCGGTTTCACACCTACGAAGAAGCCAAAAGAGGCCCTAACATGTCTTCTTCACCGACGACGATGTTGCAGTGAGAAATCAGAAAATCGAAGGAAGGAAGGAAGGATAGAACGAGACCCTCTCATTCCCTCCTCATTCCTCCGCAATTCGCAGATTTGGGCACTCGGCTCACCCCGCAATCCCTTCTCGCCCTTTCTCCCCGCTTCCAACGACCCTCGAATTCTCTCGCATCATTGAGTGACAGGAATTTGCGTGGTCCGAGGCACCACACTGAGCATCTGCTGCGTTCTCGCTGCAATCTCGTCTCTGAAGCTGCGCATTATCTCCAATTTGTTTGTTGTAAAGCTGCGGAGCTATGGTGGGCACCATGCTCGCCACGACGCCCTGCTTGCCTACTACCCCCACTTCTCGCCTCTCAAACAGGGTATGGAACTCCGTCTCTCATGGTAGAGACTCCCTGCGAACTTCTGTGAGACCAGCAGTGGTGAGAATCACATGCTGCAGTGGCGCCACTCCCATTGTAGAAGCGGTGGACGTTAGTCAGGAGGTGGGTTCTGCTACCAGCGCCCGCTTCGGTGATGTGTATGTGGCCAGCGTCCCGCTCCGAGCACCCAAGCTCGCTCAGGAAATTTTTGAGGCGGTGAAGGATTTGGAGATGTTTTCGGAATTCCAACATTTTATGACTATCGTCAAACCCGTAGGGAATGGCGATTTGCCTGTAAGTGGCGTCTTTATTCTCTGCGTGTGCGAATTTTTGGATGAGTAGCGTCTTCGGTTTTTCTAGGATTTTGTGTATGATTGTGTGTGTATGTGCTTATCCGTTCGACCATTGGTGTGTTTTTTGGATCATTGCCTCGCTGTGAAGGTAGTCTCACTTGATGTAGGGCGTTCCTTTAGCTCCGTAGGATTTAATCCTCGTTTTTCTTTTCCTCTCCGTGAGGTTACTTCGGAAACGGAATGTTCTTGTTGCTTCTGAAGAAGTGCTTTGATACGAAGCTATAGTGTGGAAAACTGGCAGTGCACGGTATTGGACTTCCAGCCCCAAAATCCTGAGGATCCCATGACGGTTTTATCCGTCTTGATCGGAAACAGTATTCCCGGTACTACTTCATTTCGTACTGTATGTCCTTCCTAAACGGCACGAACTTTGTCACTCTTCAGTTCTGGCTTATCCATCCTAAATGCTCAACTAGTCTCATCAACCTTATTAACCTGCATATCTTGGAAAATTGCTACAATGTTAGGGGAGGGGATTATTCGTAAGGATGTTAAGCTTTTTATTTTTGATTTTTATTGGAAACAGGTGTAATACTGGAGAGAACTTTGTCAAGGTTGCCGAACCAGCGGTGTTGGTGGGTAGGGGAAATGAAACCAGGCTTGAGTCTGGAAGATGCTGTGAAGTTTAGCAGAGGCTATTCTTCGGAGCTGAGCCTCGGTATCAACGACTGTCGGCATCACACTCTAGGTATTATCACATGACTGTTTCTACCTTTTCGTATTGTTTGTTTTTCACACGAACTATGGTCAATGTGCGTTTTGGAAAAGCTTTTTTGTGCACAAATGTGCAGCATTTTTTATGATGTTATGAAGGTCGAGTTCGTGTCTTCTCAACTGGTCATGCTTGTGGTGGGGGTTGCAAGACCTGGACTAGGATAAACACAGTCTGGTTGTTTTGTATTCCTCAAATGTATTAGTTCTACTAGCTGCAGTTTTCATAACTTCGTGTTGCATTTTCGATCAACTTTCTTTGTGGTAGCAAGACTGTATACATTGCAGTTCAACTGTGAAGTTGCGAAGTTTAATTTTTCAGCCATATTCCTCCTGGGCTTGAAATTCTAGTGAATATTCATGCAGAGCGATCAATTTGTTTTCCTTTATGCTCTACTTAAGTGAATCTTAACAAAACGTTTTTTTTGTTTGCATCTTTGTTTTAGATTTAGTGGAGTATTTGACTGGGACAAAAATGAATCACATTGAAGAAGTTCGCACTGTTAAGGAAAGACAGCAACGGATGGCAGAGGAGCTTAAAAATAATTCCACACAATCGTCGGAAGAATCGATGGACTTGGAGGACGTCAATTGAAATACACAACAGGGACAAAGTTGAAAAAAAGAAAAACTGCAGTCTAGACTTCTTGATCAATTAAGCAACTGGAGGCTTCTATTATCACGAACACCTATTAAGTAAGCTCGTCCATCTTTATGTAGGTAGAGTGTTGATTATCACCTTCTCCACGGTGTTGTAGGAGAACCTACTTTTGCAATCCACCAAAATTAGTTTTTGGTGCGCTTTGTGTTGACAGGAGTGATATTGGCTTGATTCTTGTCTGCAGGTTGTGAATCACAATCTCTGGTTCCCACAAATGAGATTGAATGTAAACAGCATGGGATTGTTTGGTTTTACACGTCGACTCAAGTCGATACTAAAACTGTTCCTTATCCCATAAATGATAATGCACGATGAAATCTTTCCCTTTATTTGGGAGCTATACACAATTACAGACTTTAACCGCAAAACTCGAGATATTCTCTTACGCCAAATGTTTTGTATGATTTTTGTAAAGACTCTGTAATACTTTGCAGATTTCAATATGGAATGTGATTACCAGATCTTATTGTTAAGTACGTTTCTTATCAGACTTCAATGATCCCATCTCAAATTTTACAAAAAGGTCGCTTAACGTGTGTGTGGCTAGTATGACTGGAGCCGTTTGACAACAGAGTATTTCAAAGTGTTTTTTATTCAGTCTCTTGTCAAATCCTACTGTATTGTTTATCTAAATATATGAGAAGGGAGTTAAGTTGTTGCCTTTGTTTTTGCTACAGTGTCATGAGTGATACAGCAACAATGGGTATCCATGTGCATCATTGCAAATTTGGCATAGTTCTGGTTGATGTTATGAGGGGAGAATGCTTATGAAGGGTGGGATTGCTGATCCAGGTTTGGAACCTGTCAAAGAGATTCGAGTTCTTTCTTTGATAGTTTGTCAGGCAAGAGGGGCAAAATGAGGACGTTGCAAATTATTATGTGGACACATGGTTGGAGGCATAAATAGAGAGATAGTTCCTTTGGTGAATAGAGAATATCCACCTATCAAAGTATAATTATATATATATATATATATTAGTAGAAACTTGTACTCTTGGCCACAAAAAAGCTATAAAAGTTTAATTTTTGGTTGCTAAGTCTAAAATTGACCAATAATAAAGAAATATATATATATATATATATATATATATATACATACAATAATAGAATTATTTATTTTTCTTCATCATAATTGGAAAACATAATTTTTATTTATTACAAAAACTAAAATAGCCAAGTTAAAAGAGATATGAGATAAACTACATTTATAGTGGTATTTTTTTCTTTATTATTTTTAAGATATATGATTTTGATCATAATTGGAGAAGTATATTGTAAAAGGACAATATACAACTGTCAATGTGAAAACGCAAGGGATTTAAGATCTATTCCTTTGTTTTTTTAATAATTCTCCTTGAGATTTGTTAATGGTCATTGTAAATTCTACTTTTATTAGAAATTACCTTTGCTGCTACTTGATTTTTTTTTTTTTAGATGATGAGCATAATATGTTTCTTAGAAGAAAAACTAATTGTCGCTTGAAGTCTCTTACTAACAACCTTGCTTCTATAACTTGATCAATTAGTTCAATAATGACCAAGCATGATCTATTGTAAAGTCCTTAATATGGAATAATATTTTGTAACAACATAATAGAACATCCAACCTTGAGCTCTAGGCTAAATGGTGGTAATCCAAATTGACTTAAACTATTCAAATACACAATTGGATTACAACTACTATTGTTGACACCATCTTCCATATTGAGATAAATATGTGAAACTCCAAAAAATCTCTCCATAACATACTTATTTGGATTATCAACATTATAATTTTGTATAAATAGAATGGACCTATTGGTGAAATATTAATCTCTAAGTATTCCATTCTCATTTAATTGTAAAAAGACAACTTAAATCAAATTATTTGATGTTGGATCAATTGTCATACATTTTGGAAGAATCACCATATTTTTTAATTGATCTACAATTGTTGATCCATTTCTAATTTGCAAATAGAAATCATTCTTAAATATATTAAACAAAAACATTAGATTATTAAAAAAAACTCTCAAAAGTAATAAACTTATATAATACATACTTTCAAGAATTTTTTAATAAATAATCAATTTTCATTAAATGAACTTTCCAAATGCATATTTTTGGTCAACTTATAAATTTTAATATTAAACCAAATCTTTAATCATTGCAAAGAAACATTAAGAATCTCTTCTCTTAAGTCTTTAATAACATCATGAATAATTTGCTAAAAATCTCCACTAAAGACTATAGTAATACCACCAAATAACTTATCAGTGCCATTTATATCTTAAAAAGTTTTATTGATTAACTTAGCACAATGTTACATTGTTGCAATGGTACTTCATCTTAAATAATCAGAATTATCTTTTTTAGCACATTTGCATAAGGTGTATTCTTTGCAATATCACAAAACAGATGTTCAACAAAATAGAACAGAATTCTAAAGTATATAGTCCATTTTCCACTTAAAAATTATATTACAATTCTAAAAGAAGCAACATAAAAAATAGTTTTTTTCACTACTTTGAAACTTCATTGTTATGGTATTATAGACAAATGTTTTTTCACTTCCTACTAGTCTTTTTAAAAAATACAACTTTCCAAGATTATTATCTAATAAAATATTGATATCCATAAATGTAGTTCATTACTTATCATTAAACTTTGGTACATGTTCTTCTATTGTTTGTTTTAACTTGTCTTTGTCCTATATCATATATTCCAAAAATATTTGATTTGTAGCATTCTAATTCCTTTTTTATAACAAGATCAATGAAAAATGAGTATGTATTTTGCTTGATTCTTAAATAATTTTATCAAGAAGAAATAGTCCATAATCTAATATAGATCTTTCCATTGGCCTTTTAGTTGCATAATTTTGAATCAATTGGTAATCCACATCATTGCAAAAACTTTTTTTAAACTTGTTCTAGAACTCTTCTAGATGTGTACATAAACATTATAAAAAAATAATAGCAAAAAATGTTCTTAACTACTTCTTCATTTTCATTACAAAGGCTTCTTCTAAGCATTAATCAACTCTTTATTAACTTTCAACAACTCCATTTCTAAGCATGCCTTGTTAAAATTTGGTTAGAGCACTCCATTTATTATATCCAAAACTTCAAATAAATATGATTCTTATACTATCATTAGAAGAAGCCAAAGTTAGAATCTTTCTCTCATAGTAAGATTAAAAAAATAACCTTCTAATTATAAATCCACGTTGTCTTACTATCTACTTCTTTGAGGTTTTGTTCCATATAAAATATTTGAAAAATTCTTGATATTTATATTGCTAAGCAATCTCTATAGATTCACACATTTCAAAAAATGCCATCAAAGTTATTTTTTGTGACTCTCTATGGGCTAAGACTTCAATTACATCATTATTTAGATTAAAAATTATTTGATGCATTCTAGAAAGATGCAATGCCAATTAAACCATATTTGAAACTTTTTCTTGCATTTTTATTCTAAATAAATGCCATACTGCCTTTGGAGCTCTAATATACCATTCATCAATATATTATTTGACCTCATCTTTTTCATTTCTAATTTGCATTGTTATACAATTATGATTTTTTATAGATATACTTGTCAATATAAATATAGCACTTATTATCTTGATAATAACTTTACCTATTGTATTATAAGAGTATCATCACAAATATCAAAGATGAGTACTACATCGATAAGAAATATCACTTACAAATTGAAGAACGTATTTATATAGTAGTACAATTGGAAAAAGTGGCCTTATAGTACAAGTTCTTTAATCTTTCAAAGAAAAAAGATATATATATATATATATATATATATAACAATATCATTCTAGACCTCATCAAATCTTATCTGAATTTATATGATACAAAGTTTCACCTTCAAATTCTTAGGTAAAACATTAAACTTTATTATTATAGGTGAGTCTATTAAAAAAAAATCAAAGTCAGGATCTCTAATAAGTATACACATTTGAATCTGGCATTGATTATTTGTATGCATATAAAAAATATATATTAATAAAAAAAACTAATACAGTAGTGTATATACATTTGAAGCTAGCACAAACTGTCTTCATGTGTATAAAAGGCATGTGCATGTATCAGCATAAGTAAAAATAGCTACAATGTGTAATTAAGCCTTATATATATAATCCTTCAAAAAGCTTATGATTCACAATAACAACAACAAAGGAAAAAAAATAAAAAAATAAAAAAATGTTTCTTGGATTCAGACAAAGATAGACTCAAGTAAATTAATTCCACCATCCAAGGTCAAAGTTTTCACGTGCTTATCAAAAAAATATATTAAAAATCAATTATTGCAAAAGCATTACAAGCAATTTAATCCCAAGAAAAAATCAACCAACTAATTGTTGGTTTTTTTTAATCTTAGAATCAATCTACCTGAGGTCTTCAAAACCAAACCTAGTCTCTATCAACAGGGGCAAACCTTCTAGCAATCTACTAGATGCAACAACGACCTCATCATGCACAACATTTAAAATCAAAACCAATCATTTGATCCATTGAAGCCGATACCTAAAATCTAAACCAATCTTCTAATCTAATGAAATCAACACTTGAAATACTTTCATACTTCCAACCTCCATCTAGTCATCAAAGAATAAATGTTTACATTGTGGCTTCTTTACTCTTTTTGTTGTCAAGGGTGGACTTTCTCATAGCTTGCTACATACAATACCTACCTTATCATGTAGAACATCTTGGGTGCACATATAAACCTTCATTACAAATTCCTACCTACATAATCTCACATCCCTTCTAGCAAACTCCTATATACATATTCTCACCTCTCTACCTACAAATCCTTAATTACATTCACATTGATTCACACCAATTATTTCATCGTCATTAATGAGAAGAGAATTTTCTAGTTGATCATATTTGTTTGATATCTAATACAATATATTGATAGCTTCATATCTTGCAAGAAGGAGAGGGTGATAGATTCTAACACACAACATATAACACAACTCAATGGAGAATACAACACAATGGCAAGTACAATATCTACCACTTGGGCTACAATCCTAGTAGACAAAAAATTCAAGGTCTCAACAACTTAGTTCTTAGAGATATTCAAGGCCCCAACTACTTTACATTCCCCAAGTTCTTAAAGTTCCCTTCTCAACATCCAATCAAAATGTATTTTTGTCTCCTTATCATATACCCAATTAAAGTGCATTCTACAATATAATATTCTTTAAACAATATAAAACTTATAAGCATATAAAACTAAATATATTTACTAATAAAAATAATATACCTTATATAAATAATTTTAAAACAAATTCAAAAAACTTGCCATATAAATAGATTTTTAAGTCAATGATGTGGTTTTTTTTTTCTTATCCTTCAATTGATTGATTTTTCAATTATAAAATTATAAAATATTTTTAAAAAAGTAAGTTATATTTAAATTTGGGTAGTTTTCAATTTAGTATTTGTTTATAAATAACAAAGTATCTAAGTTTTAAAAGACAATAAATCAAGATGTTAATAAATAAAGAATCAATTAAATAACAAAATAATTATAAATACAACTTTGTACAAATCCATGTACAAATCTAAATTTAAGTTTATAAATAAAAATCATATATATAACTTTTAGAATTTAATACTAAATTAAAACATTGACATTTAAAATTTTAAAACAAAAATTCTTATATATTATGAAAAATAATACAAAATATTATAAATGTATAACAATTTCATATTTTTTACAAATAATTATTGTAACTTGTTTGCAATGTTAGACTTTAATATTATGTTGACAATTGCAAATATTTTAATACAATAGTGTCTGGTTAAAAAAATCCATTAGGACAAGGAAAAACTTTTCTCTTAACTAGACATTTTTTATAACCAAACATCACACTATTCTCCATGTCTTTGGAATGGTGTGCGCTTAGAGCTTGGAACATTGCAAATCCAATTGATAGTATCGGTATCCACAGCTGTGTTGTGCGGGTTGGAGACAATGGCATTTGCATAGAGGAGCAAAAAGTTGCTATTCATGAGATGCGTTATGCATTGTGTTGGCTGAGGTGGTACTTGTTCATTACAGAGTATTGATCCTAACCAAACTTTTCTCTTACTAGTTCATGAAAAACATGGGACAGTGTTCCTTCAAAAAAAAACGGGACAGTGTTCTTATCCATTTTTTTTTCTCCTAAGTATTTTTTTCCTAATCAAACACCACTGTATAATATTTATTATCCTTTGATTATATTTTTGATGTTTCTTTTGAAGGATGTTCTTAGGGTCCAATATATTATGCTTTTTAAATACTTAAATATTTTAATTGAATATTTTATGTAATATATATATATATATATATATATATATATATATGTGATTTATTTTTTTTGGGTAATTGAAGTGCATAGTTTCGCCTGAATTTACAATTGCACTTCAATTATAAAGTAAATATTATTAAATATAATTTTGATTTGTTTCATTGGCAATGTGCCACACCTTGGATGAACTTATCAAAATATTTAAATTGTATGAAGTTTGTTTCAATATCATTCAACAAACCCATAGTTTAGATTCCTTCATGTTTAATTCAACACGTTTAAATGTGAATGTTTCTTGTGATGTTTGTTTAAACAGGTCTCAGTAAAAATTTAAAAAATAATAAAAAATAAAAAATAAAAAATAATCAAAATGATACACAATTGAAATTAAAGACCAGTAATTGTTGCTTTGAAGGCCATTCTATTAGATACTGCGTTGGAATTCATACATTATGAATATATGCAACTTGCTTATAACAAGGATACACTTTACTTCAAATATGGCTACTCGATGTGAAAGCAACAACCATGACGGATAAATGTGAGTCTAGTTAAGGAAGGGATGATTGCACTCGTCATTAAACTGAACATACACGAGCGTCTCAAAATCCCAAGTCTACAAATCATCATGACAACCCATTCCAGAAACTTAAAATCTTGATAGGTTCCTGCCCAAGACACTCAGCACAATTCAACTTCTGACACAATAAGTTCAATTCTGTTTGTATTTCGGCAACTATACTCAGGACCACCTCACCGTGTCCATCTGAGAAGTCCCCTCCAGGGTACTCAACGCACCAAACCTCTCAGCCTTGCTGGTACACCCCGTATCAGCATGGAGGCTCTGCTGCCACGGAGACGGCTACTGACACTCTCGTTTGAGCCGCCAGTGAAATACACTGAGTCGATCACCGTGTCTGCAATTCAATCCGTTTGAATCAACTGTTATCATGTATCTATAACCCTTAAATGCTTTGCTGTTCAAACTTTGTCGCTCGCAACAAAGCCGAGATCTTAGTTTGTGGCTATGGGTTCTCCCAGGATCGATCCTATAGCACCCACGCTGCCAACGTCTGCTTCATCAGGTGCCTTTTCTTGCAAATCCTCCTTGGCTCTTGCAAGCTCCTTCCGAGCCAGCTCTATAAAAAGCTCCGCATCTTGCTTCATCTGAGTAGACAATTGAGTTTGTGAATTGTCTGGGACGGTGTGGTCACGATTTCTCAAAAAAATCCCGTCCAACCTCATGCAGGAAGTCCAACAATCATCCGAAGCTTTTAACACCACTACAGTGTGGAACGTGAATATGTCCAGGTAATGTAATATCACTTCCACCGCTCCGACAGTGGGTCGCAACAAATGATAATGAAAAATGTAGTTTACACCAGAGCCGCAAGAAGCAGTTTCAACCAAAGAAACAGTTTCCCACATGCGAGTGGGACACAACAGCAAGCCCATCTCATGAATGCTCAACAATAAACGAGTTATCTCAAATACTCAATCAACCATGCAACATGCTGCAAAGTGTTAATACACTTAAAAGCGTAAATCCAATTACCTCCAACACCGTTCCAGACTTGATCTTCGATTGCATGAGACACCACTTTTGAAAATGTGCCCCTGTTCAAAATCCACATCAAGAGCAGCTCAAAATGAATTGGGGTGCGACCGTCTTCGAAGGGATTAAATCTAGAGAGTACCATAAACGTGGCAGTGGATCCAATCACCTTCCGCAATCCATACAACCCTCTCCGATTAATTCTCAACTAGCCTTAGCACAACCATCATGCGAGTCACAAACACCAGCGACAAAATAAGTTTCGAGCACTTCTCGTAGTGTTTTGTCACACTCCTTTCCATGCCCACAATGCCCTTGATAGACAAATTACACAAGGGGGAGCTCACGTCCAAACATTCACAGAGAAATAACATGATTTTTGGAACTTTCGTCACATTCCTTACCAACTTTAACAATCAAACTGCATATAGATTTTGACTTCGTCTCAAATATCCACTTTGCATGCACCTGCCAATACGACACAACTTAGAGAAATCACATCCATAGATATCTTCTCTAAGACCTAGCATGAATACTACACTAGCGAGTCTCGAAACCTTCACCAAAGAAAACAAGGTAAGCATAATGTAGACCGTCAGAGAGATGGAAAAACGCTTCAGAAACATCGCTGCAGTCCAAAACCCTATCCGTCGACTCCAGCAGTGTTTCTTGAGCGCTTATCCATCCTCTCCAACATCCTCTAATAATGCGAGCTACTAGTACATTCGATGCTGTGCAAGTGCTGAAAGTGTGTGTCAGACATGCCACAGACTACACATTGTTCTTGATCACTCTCCGCACGTCTGAATCGTTCAGCACATACGACAAATTGATATATGTGCGGCTATATTCCAGATGAAGATTGAATCAACACAAGATGGCATTTTAATTCCACCCTCGTCACCTCATAGGCAAGCCACGTTCAGAAAAAATGAACATAAGAGCTTCGTTCCTGCAGACGTCATTGACAAACAGTACCTCAAAGTATGTTCCGAAAGGCACGTCATGAATTTGTGACACGGCTTCGAAAACCTGCAAACACGAACCACAAGAATCAGCCTTCACATCCAGAAACAAAATCTCAAAACCACTCTGCAAAGCGTCTCACACACACGAGCATGTGACATATAAAACACCAGATTCCAAGGAAGGAAATCTCAGACCCCTTAGATGAGAGTTATAAGATCGAACATCTATTACTGAACCTGGACACTAGAGAGTTTACAGACCTCAAAAAAAGTTCCAATGTATACCTCTCTCCAATGTGACGGGGGAGAATTTCAAGTAGGATCGAAAAATCACAGACAAAATCTAAGTGTTCCTTGCAGCATCTCATGGCACTTACTGGTGCATAATTGTCACAAGGTGCCCAAGCAGAGCCCCAAGAAGAAAGCCTAGGTCCAAAAAGAGGGATGTGATGGAATGTGTTTAAGGCACAGTTTGTCACTTAAAAAATAATCCAGGATCGTCAGTTTGCCGAAATACCTACAATAACAAGTAGGGGACCAGTACAACAAACCAGGACTTTCTTGTCATTCGAAAACGCCGCATGTTGCCACACAGTAACGGCGGTGTCTGGAGGACACATTGGACTCCGGCATATCGAACGATAAGTCACCTTCCGAGTGAAACCGCCATATTGTTCCGTGTCTTCCCATTTTCCAATCTGCCACGTCATACAATATTGTCGTAAACTCCATAAGCAAGCATCCTTGCCAGCACAGCTTCTCACAAACATCCCGTGTCAATGGTCGGAATGTCTTCACATTGTTTCCAACATAAATGAAACAGTAAATTTCAACTATTAACCTCGGAAGGATGAAAACTCAAGCCACATTAACGAGCTGCGTAAATAGTGAATACGTCAACTGAAACTTTCTGACAGCATTTGAGCTATAGAGGCAGAACATCACCTTTAACTCCGAATCCTTTCGAAAATCACAATACTTTTGCATAAACTGAGAGTCGTCCGTCAAACAAACTGCAAAATATTCTTCAGCTGTGCACGGCAAGTCAACCTGGCAAATCATCCTCAGCAAGTCATCTTCTCTAATAAGCTGACGGCGCAATTAATGAAATAAATCTTCTACCAAGTGGGCAAGCGAAATCACAAACTCACGTTGATAACCTCAGACAGAACGTCGTCCTTAAGAAACGGCTGTATCACGATTGGGCTTTCATTTTGTACTGGAATATCATTTTGGTCATCAATCTCCTCAGGCACCCGAAATGACCCGCTTTTTGTTCTCATCGATGAGACATGTTGCTCCTAAACATATGCAAGAAAAAACAAAGACCGATTTGTCAAATTTTCGTGTACACATTCACAGTCCTCTGTAATGTGACGACTCCATTGACCCACACATACATCAACTGTTCCCAAGTAAACATAGAAGACAGCGATAGAATGCAACTTTTCACAAGTTCATCGTTGCAGTAACCAAACTGCACGAGCAGAAAGTGGTCGGTAGATTATCTCATGGCAACAACAAATGGGCATCAAATTTCTGAGCTACCTGTGCTTGGTGCAATTAAAAAGTGCTGGTTTCAATCATAAAATAGTGGAGAAGGCAATCGAAGACACCTCTTTTGCAGTCTCCTGCATGGCAGTGAACTTTTTCAAAGCTCGTTCAAGTGCTCTGAATGCTTGGTTTCGATTCCAGAATGATGCGAACTTGTACTTTGATCTGCCTGCACCAATCACAAGTGAAGCTCAACGACAGACTGGCATCCTCACGGCACCCTCCTAAGAATATGAGCACGAGAAATGGATCTATTCTTAAACCCTGGCGCCCTCATGGGATACATCAGTACAGAATCACAACAGTAGATTGATTTCCCAAATCATAGCCAAAGATTCTATATCCACCACGGATTTTCAAAGCCACTCATCAGCTTCTGATTCACTTGAAATTGGACTTTTTCCACAACAAACCCTTCAAAAAGAAGCAACATGCAAGTATTACTTTGATCAGGATAGTACGGACTAATAAACCAGGATGAAGTTGTTTACCATCAACACTAACCAAAGGAGGCACGCCTTGACCACCTGAACCTGATCGCAGTGTGATTGTTATGGCCGGATTAATGAGCGAATGGTGACTCTTCTTTACCTGCTCTCCGCCAAACCACACCCATTGCATCAGCGGCCATAGTCATGCATCCCATTCAGCACTTTACATTGCTATGATCAAAGTATCAACGTCCCCTAAGTGCAATATACCAAGATCAACACACCAACATTACGCTTCTTTTCTACAGACGCCAACAGACGAGGACTCATGATAAACTTGGTAACGCAGCTACTTTGCGTGTTGCACCGAAAAGTAGCAGACTGTTAAGAAAAGTGTTAGACCAAGAATTCCTGCCAATTCGAGGTTCTAGTTGTATATATCATACAAGCAGGTCCATTGCAGGACTGGCAAGCACCAGAAACTTCCAGAGATACTTACCTCTTCAATGTCGTCATACGGCAAAACAATCTGCACGTTCACGATCGGAGGTGTTCAAATCGCAATCACATAGCAACGTGAGAGTTGATCCAAGGACCAGAAAATACTAGCCGGTACAAGACTGTCATCAAAAACTTAGAACTAGTTTGTTGTAAAAGAGTAACCACCAAGACAAAAACCACGCGGATGTATGCAAATGATAACCTTCATCTGCTTCGCAAACACGTTAGAGTGAAAACAAATATGCCAGGCCGAAAGATACATTCGCCCGTGGTATAGGAACGATCTTTCCAGAGCACACGAGTAACTGTGCTCAATCACCTGCATCGGCCAAAAGCACTGTCATCCAGAGCACCTACGGACTATAGGTACCAAATCCAGCTCTGCTAAACCAATATATTGCGAAGAAACCTATTCTAGGAAGACGGAAGGCAACACGAAGGTACCTCGTCTGGGGGTAGTTCAAAAATGAGCTGAAGAGGTCCAGGCTTCTGCCGCACCTCTGTCCCAACAGGTTTATCAAGGGATAATCTTCGACGGGCTACAACCCCGAGATGCCCACTCAAATTTCTGCACATATGTGACATACAATAATCACAAGAACGATTACCTTCACAACAACAGTTGCGAGTTTTCCAAAAAGTATCTTCACTGCCAGCGCTGTTTTAATTCACGGTCTATGCTCGAGGAAGAAAATACTTTTTGAATATCATGTGGTATTCCAGTACCTTACAATTTGTGCTGCAACATAAACTTTTTGTACACATACATATTCATAATCAACGACAAGAGCTAAATATATACTTTCATAATTAAAAGCCGCTGAAAAATAGATAGCCAAGTAACTCATGATGGAAACTGCTTCTGAATCCATTGTAGGACAACAAATAGCACGGTTTATCATATCAACGAGTCAAGGGTTCTTGGAGAAATTTCTCTTCCCATTGCTGACGCCATGCCACTTCAACTGCCCAGTTTAAAACTACAATCGCATTAATGAAGGAAATAATCTTTTGAGGGACAATGATTTTATGCCTCGAAGACAGATATGAGTATCATAGTTACCAAACCGTTTGTTTTAGTAACCATTTAACGGGGATTTGTGTCGGTGTAAAAAATGTGCCAGTGGTCTCACCCAGACTGACTAACAGGATAACGCTTAGTCGCCACTTGGAGACACACCTATGTCCACATCCAAGACATGGTTCTGCATGAGATTGATGTGTCGAAATTTGTAGCTTGAGTAACAATAGATTCATGTCGATGAAATAGCGTGAGCGAAGAATATTCCTTAATTGGGGTTGAAATATTTACAAGATAAAAAAAACTAAGTGAAGGTCTCTTGCTGTAAACAATGTGCCATAGCAGCGAGTGCTTACCTGACCAGAAGCGCTATCCAGTGTACACCACATAGCCTCGGTTTGACCCTCCTCCGTTATGTCAAGGGTGGTTGATCCAAGTGATGTGCTCTTCCAAACAATATCCCAATCAAAGATGGCAACTTTAATCTGCAAATTCAACCCTTTAGCAAATTCTGATAGGGGCAACTAAACTTAACCGAGAAACTGCGAATTAGTTAGGCATTTTACAAATTTTTATTATGATCTGAAACTTACTAGAGGTTCAAAAAAGTGATACAAAGTGGATTAAAAAAAATAGAGCACGTTCTCAAGAGATACAAGACTCCAGATGATATTTATGTTTCCTTCTTCATGCGCGCAATTACAAATCTATCTCGAGTATGCAGTTTTGCGAATCTTCCATTCAGGAAAACAGCCGTGTCCGTAAATATGGCGGCAATCATGTTATCTTTACTGTCCAACAATTAGCTACAGCACATTTGCACGAAAATTCATTTATTTACTCATACAAATAAATTTACTTCACAAGAACAGAATCACATTTCCACATCTTGCTAGCTAATCTGACTCCATCACAGAATAAAAAAACATCTTCAAGTCCCACGCTACTTCGATGGTGTGAATGCACGAAGAGACGGATCTCATTAGAATTAATAAAGAAAGATGCACAATGATGTCCTTACGCATTTACCTGCACAGGCAAGTCTTCCGCATAGAAGTCAAATTCCTCACCCCATGCTGGATTCCTCGAGCTCGGAACCACAGAGCTGCAATACAAAATGAGAAATCAACATTGTTAAACCACTGAACCAGTCCATTTGAGCTTTAGACCTTACGAGACTCGTACAACTCATCGTGAATTGTAGACCGACTTGAATACGGCAAGGTATTTAAAGCAACGTCATGCTAAATCTGTGTACCAATCAACTAGGAATATCTAAATTACAAACTATGATATGACTCGATCACCTGAATCGCTTCTGTGTCCCACATTCGATGATAGCGTAAGGATCTGATGTGCCATTCAAACTTGCTGAAATCAAGTTCCTAGCTGCAAGGAGTTCGAACTGTTCAAAATAAATCAACCATGGTGAATAGGTCAGTTATTGCCCCAATAGAAAAAGGTGGGAATCTGCTAGTACACCAACAATTTCTACTCATGCCATTTCGCATATAAGTTAGATAAATGCTCACTGATATAACTGCATTTGTACAAGTTTTCCTTTCTTTTTAATTTGACGTAATTCAGTATGGACCCTTACCCGAATCAAATACACAAATAATCCATCCCAGTCATTCGTCACCCCCTGCACAATGGATAGCACAAGTTGCTTCAGCTGAATAAATATTTACGTTTAATACAACAGGCAAAATTTTCTTAAATCTAAGGTCAACCACACAGCATCTATCTTGCATCAGATTTCAAGAAAGTCAAATAAAAAATGTTCGAGACTTTCAACTCACACGCACTGCAGCATTAAGATAGTAAATACATAAGTCTTTAAACAGTGAGTTTCTATCATCCTCACCCGAACAACGGCTTGAGCAGTTGTGCTGCTCAAAACTACGTCCTCAAGTTCTGGAATTGCTGGAAGATGTAACACTTTCTCTTCTACAATATCTTTAGATGTATCATCCCCTGCAAGGAAATGCTGGTAGCAGCTCAGGAGGAATATAAATACCACAGCAGCTGCCAATGATAGGTTTATTTCCCCCCATGACGGAATAAAAACATCCATCGCCATCTTTTGCAGACCGATCATTTGCATGACTCTTACAGTCACTTCTTCATAAATTATTCAACTAGCTTCATTTCGACTTTTTGATGGTTCTGCTGAAAACTTGAGGCTGCAAAGTACAGTCAGAGGATTTCACAAAGACGACAGCGCTCGCTGGCATCGTCGACAATGTGTCGTTAAAGAATTATCGATTCTCACTAGGAGGTGAGACGACCTGTTCCATAGTGACGAACCACTAAAATGATTCAATAAAGAATAATCCAACGAAACATTGAAAACAAGTCCAATAATGGAACTCCGAACAGTAATTGCAGTGCAAAGCACGCCCATTCATGACCTAAGTCATGCATCCCTTGAATAACATGTCTATCAACTCCCCTCGCTCAAGTGATGAACAGGTGCAAGAAGTGAGAAGCCCAGAAGTGTGATCTGTTTCTGAGGGACTTGAAATTGTGCCAATATTCTCTAAGCTTCAAAGATTATTCAGACTTTTCAAACTGTTCGAGTTTGATATGTGAGCATCAGAAATCAAGGGCATACCTACAAGAAATAAGACAACTTCTCCGATATCAATTCTAGTAAGACCCACTCAAAATCAACTGCTGTAACATTTCAGCCGAGTATGGTACTGATATTGATTTACAAACAAGGCTGGCAAAGCAATAACTCAAAAGTTGGTGGTTAAGATTACGAGAGCATTTCTGCTAAGAGGACCACGATGGCAAAACCTTTACGTCGATTTGTGCGGAAGATCTTGACTATGACCATCATATTGTAAAGTCGTCATTTGCAACAGAAAAGATCCAAAGCAGAACTCGACACCACTAAACCCTAAACTTAGAGCCAATTTTCTGGTACATCGCATCTTCAGTGTTATATGTTGCATTCATACCGAAGCTATCTGTTAATAGATGTTCTGAAAAATGGAAGCAGCTCAAGAGACAGGGTAAATTATGAGATATGTACGAGAGATGTAGAATCGATGACTCAGTCAGTGGGGGTAAGCCCTGTGCACTTCAGCCGCTTCATGAATTGAAAAATAACGACAGACTCCAATGATACGGAGCTGCGAAAGCAGACACATCGAGGAGCAAAATCAGTAAGAAGTGCTTTGAAGCAACGAAGCTGAAACTTACATATGCCCGGTGATTACAAATGCTCGAGTGATGGAGATTAAAAAAACAGTATGGTGCGTACAGGTCCTCGGTTTCAAGAGCGTGGAAGTAGTATTCGAGGTGCCAAGCAGTAGATATTCAGAAGTTAAAGTGGACACATCCCATTGCTCCTCCAGTTTCAGATCGTTGAATTGTGTGTGTAAGGACAATAACCTTACCCTCAGCTAATAATCAAAATTACACAAAGCTCCACAATATCGACTAAAAGAGCCCGATCGGAAGTTTCAGTTGTAGCTGTGCAGCTACAGAATGGTGTGTACATGCAACGAACAATCGCGAGAAGGATCTGAGCAGGAACGAGTCGACTAATCGACGAAATACAGGTAGTTGAAACCTTCGAGGCCACTCCCACACGTTTGAAACCGCATCCCTCGCCACCTAACTCTACAAAAGGAAGCTTCCAGAGCCCTTACCAAGAAACAAGTATAAGAACCTATCTAGCATCATCAGGTAAGCCGAGCGAAATCCCCTCAATGTTCATCCTTCGTTTTCTCTTCACCAGAACAATCATCCACAAGCTGCAACTCACCACCGAAAACTACCGAGGAGGAAGCAAGTGCAAGACACATACTCATCGCACTTGCGTCAAGTGCATCAAATCCTCCTTCACAAATAATTCCATGGCCCTTTCCTTCCCGGCGCAATCAAAATCCCGTCCAAAAAAAAAGGGGAAAGAAAAGTCGTTTGGCAATCGCGATCTAGTAACTATACCACATCTTCCCTCCCTTGACCCCCCCAAACCCAGACACGAATCACTCGTTGAGCTCCCTCCACTTCACCGAACCTTCCCCTCCTGCATACCAAAGAACCTCAACAGTTTATCGAATAGACGTGTTCACCACACAGCCAATTCAATGCTGCAACGCTTAGCGTTTGCCCCGATTCCACACTCCAAATGGTTAAAAACCAGCCATTATCTTGCGCTCATGCTTCAAGCGCTGTCTAACAACGATCGTGGTCTCATAGAAAAGCAAGACTTGCGTTTTCCAAACGAGGTTTTGCGGGTTTCCTCACTACCTACTGGTGATCCCGTTACTTGTGCCCTGGAGCCCCTCTTCACACCGGCAAACGTTACTTGTTGCGTGGAATGAAATGCTTTTGATCCTCCATTTTCTAGGTCCGAGCATGTAGCCAAATCTTTTGGAAGGGTGGGTGATGTGGCGCCAGGTCAGCATGGAGGCGACTTCCCACGGAATAGTACCCTCCAGAAGCGCGGGAGGCGCAACAGTCTTTTAAAGCCCTCCTCCCACTTCGTACCTTGTGTACCACACCCCCCTTCCCAGCGTACTGGTCGGTAATAGGGGTCTGGATTCTCCTTCCAAGTAGGATGTGCCGAGGATGCATGCCCACGTGGTTGTCCACGTGACCAATTCCACGTGGTAAGTGCCACCGTGGCAAGTCTATGCGATCTGTTCAATAAACCCGCCTCCCTTCCTTGACCATGTGATAGGTGGCCGGCTTTTGAAACAAGGCCATTCAAAATCTTAAATGAAGATGTTGATACGTATCCATCCGTCTTTCAATGAGGGAGAGCTCCAAAATCTGATGTGGCAACCCATGTTGTTTTTTTTCGTAAATATACTAAAGACGCAACTTGGAATAATGAGTCAAATAAAAATAATGTTAATTCCAAAAATATTTTATTACCACTTGAGAAGATGCATAATTTAAACAGTCTATTAGTAGCTTAGAGAAAACATACATGAACTGTCATCTGCTTTCAATGGAAAATCTTAAGAAACTCTAATCTATTTGCTATCGGTCCAATAGGTGTTTTGGCATTTGAGCCCCGGTAATTCATTTTTAATGGTATTTTTCTAATTTTACAACATGAACTTGTTATTTAGAATCAATCACTTCATTCAAAAAACACATTTAGATATACAACAATAAATAAATGAATAAATAAAATAAAATAAAACATGTACAAACTTTAATTGAATGTACCTCTACTAAGTTTATTTATTTTATTTTGATTGTGAATGTTAATAAATTATGTATGTATATATATATATATATATATATACATACATATATGTGTGGGTGTGTGTCTATTGCCACAAACATCATTTATAAAACCATCTTATAATCAAATTTTATATAATTGTTTTGGATTTGATTTTATGAGTCAACAAAGATTAAAATAATAATAATAATAATAATAATAATAATAACTTGTGTTTATTTTTTCTAATTTACTTATTTCTATTTACATATCTCATTGATGTTATGATTATTTAAAACAAAAACAAACAAAAAACCTGCTAGAAAAAAACATCCCCAAAATAAACCAAGTATAAAGATGTATAGGGTAAGGGATAGAATCAGCCTCTTGTAGAGAGATCAACTTGAGTTTGTGCCACCAAGATGGCCTGCACTGTAAATAACAATATCAATAGTTATAGAATAGTATTTAACCTAAGTGAATGAAGAAATAGCCATTTTAAACCATGCAAAGTTTAATAAGTATAATTTTAAGAGGCTATAACCTACAGTAATTTTTTTGCATGAGAGTGCAAAGGAAGGAGTTTCTTCCATGGATGCACATGAAATAGGACATGACTTTGGATCTATGTGTCATTAGGCTTGCAAGGTGCACTTTGTTTGTGAAGAGATTATGGTCTGTATGTAATTGCCAAATTGAATGTGCATGCCAACTTATACTAAATCCAAGAAGGATGATGTTTTTTTCAAACCCACTAATATTATATGCTAGTATTTGAATAACTATGTGAAGGTTGCTCTGAACCAATATGTATATCCTCTTCTGTTTTCTTTTACTGTGATATTACAATGTAACACAACCATGTCACTTCTCAACTTCATTATTTTGAAGACCATGTGGAACTCATTCTCTAAAGTTTAGACCCACAACAGTTATTTATTTATTTATTTATTTTGTTTGTAATGATTCGTCAACACTATGGGTTACATGTAAGAGTCAAAACTGCCTTTAGCTCATTTATGTAGAAAGATGTTTTGCTCTAAAATTGTGTTTTTTTTTTTTTTTTTTTTTTTTTTGTGCTGATGTGGCAGCAATATGTGTAGATTGTGCAAGCCATTTTTTTATATATTTTTAACATAAAACTAACTAATATCATTATTTCCATGTAATGAATGTTCAAAAAATATTTGTGGTTTTGTATTTTTGAATCTATACAAGATGATTAGACCCTTTTAGGTATAATCATAATTTAGCTTAAGCTTTGTCCTAAATTATAGTTTATTTAATAACAATGTTGTAAATGATGGTCGAAAATAATGGTAAAAAATTAATTTTTAAATGTTATTAACAACCAATCATTTTTGGTAAGTTATGTTATTTTAAAAGAATCATATTATGATTCATATTGGCATACAAAATAGTCATCATTATGTAGATAATAAAGACTTGTCTTAAATAAAAATTATTTATGCTGAAGCAGATTTTGAATATTTTTTACTGAAAATGTAAAAATTATATGTTTGTTATCAGTATTCAAGAAGGATGTGTAATAATTTTAAGATATTTAAGACATAATTTTTTTTTGGGCTTCCTTAAAGTACATCCAACAATTCATTCGTGTTTAAATATCAACCAGTGAAAACATGTAAAAATATAATTTAACTTAAATATATCAAAGAGTCATGTTTTCTTTCATTAAGTATTATGTGAATAATGCTGATCATTAAAAAGAAAAATAGTAAAAATGTCCAATAGAAAATCATAAACAATTAGTTCCTATGCATACTTTGTATACATTTAATTTATATTGTATATATGAATTTCTCTATTGTAATCAAATAAATACATATATTCATGTACTTTTTTCTATTGTAAATAATTATTAAAAGTTCCAAATTATAATCCTTAGAATTGAAATCAATTGATATTACCGCAGAGAAGATCTGAAACATATTTAAATTTTGTTTATATATATATATATATATATATATATATATTTAATTTTTTTCAATACGTTTTAATTTTTTCTCCAAAAAGTGGTATGAAAATATAATATTTCTTTGGGCAAGAACCTATTACATGACATAATTTTACAAAATTTGAATTTTTTTTTGAAATTTTATCTCTGTAATGTTAAGTTATTCACTTTAGTCAAACTTAATCAGTTATTGTTTACGTTTCAAGAAAAGAAAGAATGCAGTGCACATGAAGATTAAACAACACGACTCCGTATCAGTTTTCAAACAAGTCTAATTATTTGTGTGTTTTGGGCATAGGCGCCGCTCTCGAGGGGGGTAATGCCGCGGGTGGGCGGTGACACCGTGGAAGGGGCGAGAACACAAAGGAGGAAAGAATGGAGGGGAGGGAGGGAATAGCGCTCAACACTTAGCACCTCGTTTGGTAACCTAAACCTTGTGCCCGCCTCACTGTCCCGCATGGCGTCGAGCATTTTGCGTCGAAATCGAAACTGGTAATGCTTCCAATGGCGAGGAGCCTGGTCCCTTCTTCAAAGCCCGCGTTCAGTCCAGGACGGTTGCGTCGGAGTGCGGCGCTCTCGTCGCAGAGCTAAATTCTCCCTACACCGGAGCGCCAGATACTCGTTCGAATAGTTTGGTCGCGTATGATCGCGAGGTTCAAGCGTCGGGGAGGAATTAGCAATGGTGTGTGAGGAGCTTGGATTTTGCTCTATTTTTTCACTCTTTTTTTCTTTACCTTTTTTTTTTAACGCCGAGGGAAGTGGTGGATGTATTTTGAATTTGGAGTTGAATCGGCAGTTTGTATTTATTCGTCTTGCTTAGAGTGTTGAAATTGGAGATGCTTCTCGTTGGATCGTTGGACAGTTTAGTATTCTTGCGAATTACACTGTAGGTTCGGAGGCTTCGGTAGCAGGTATCGTGGTCTTCTAGTTTGTTCGCGGCGGGGTGTACACTTCAAGTTTAAATTCTTGTTGCTGTATGAGTTGAAAGCCTTCCATTAATTGGTTACGTTTAAAGTCATAAATGAACTCACAGTAGTTCCCCTAGATTTTGCTTATTCAGGTCTAGGTAGAAAGGGCAGGGTGCCAAGTCAGGTCTGAGAGGCCATCACGGAGGCATTCGCAAAGTGATGACTGATTCATCAAGTTCGTAGAGGGTGCAATCGAATGGAGTTGACATGTCTGAGTGTCTTGCTTTGCATGCGTTTCAATGAGTACTGCGCTCTTTTAGTTGTTCCAGGTTTTTAAGATGTCGTATGCACAGGGTTATCTGTGTTGATGCTCAAATGTGTACTAGTTTTCATTAGAGAGGGCTTTCATCAAATTGAGAAAAGTTGGCGATGCAGTTGACCAGTGACGTTCGATTCACTGCTCGTGAATGTGCTTTGTGCTACGTTTTTTTTTTCCAATCATTTTTTCGGACTTAGTCTTGTAGGGAGGAGTTTTTAGTTTCAATCACGTATGTATAACTAAGTTCCTCAGTGTTGTTGCTTTTGCAGTTCAACTAGTACACAGTGAATGTGCACAAATTTCACTGTGGAATTCTGGAAAGGCGATGATTGATTTCACCGATCTGTTTTCTGTAATTCATCTGGTGTTGCGTGTTGAGAAAAAAGTTTGCAATGGTGGGGAATAGATTCCAGCCATGCAGGCTACTCCTTGCAGGTTAGTGATACACTTGAGTACTGGTTGTCTCTTTATCTTGATCACCAATGTATACTTTCTGTAAAGAGATGCTACAGAGCAATAAGTTAATTTGCTGATGCAGCACTTTAAGGGAATCAGGTAACGAGCGTTGTTTAGATCTTGTGCTCGTCACGTAGGAAAGGCTGTTACTGCTGATAACGAACTTCAGGTGTAAACCACGAATTCCTAACACTTTGTTTGTGTAATGCAGTGCTTGTATTTTCATTTGCCTGTCATGCGACGTTATCTCTAAGCCCGCGCTCGGAGTGCTACATGCTGGACGTGGATAATCATTTTTATGACTTTGTATCCTCCCTTTGACTCTAGATATCTCCAAGTAGATAATGTCTGGAATGCCATTTTAAGTTCATTAGATTTTTAGTACGTCATAAGCATGTAGTTGTGGGACTGGTTTGCTGGATAAGGAAAATAATGGTTGTAATGAATGTCATATGGCTAGGTATTATGATATTTACTTTCTCATTGATTTTACTTGTGGACCATTTTCTTAATAAAGTGCGACTACAGACGGATTGGATTGGAAAGGAGTTTCAATACACCGATTTCCAGGTTATATTGAAAATCTTAGTTTTTGTAAGCTTTGTGTGGTAGAATTTCAGGATTATTTAAAGCTTGCCAAGTTATTGCAGATTCTAGTATTGTAACGTTGAGATATTTTGGAGTCGTAATTTCGGTTTGAGATCCTGGTGTATTTTAACGAAATTCTGGAGCTTAAGTTCACTTTCCCTTGTTTGTTTTGGTAAATCAGGATGGGTCAACGTACACGCTTCGTTTCTGCAAGGACATGCAAGTCAGATCTGGCCAGGTCATTTTCTTATTCCGATTTACTTTTGTGACCTGTTTAAGTGCACTGCCTTGTTGGAAGCACGTGTTGAGCCTCTGATAAAAAAGTCACGTACCCAAGAAGGATTTTCTCAATCAGGGGAATTTGGCATGCAGTCAATCATAAATTACGGTCGCTTCTCACCAGCGTACTCTTCGGCGCGGGACACTTCTGATTCATTTGTCCAAGTAAGTGTGGTGGTGTTTCCTACACCTTTATCTCTTAAACTCCTAACTTGTGCTGTCTTTCTATGCCTTAAATTCAGCATGTGTTCATTCAGATGCTTCTGATCATTTCTAGATCTTTGGCCGAAAGATCAGACGGTTAATATTGTATTGGTTCAAAGAAGATGGAAATTTTCTTGAAATTTTTCAACTAGTTCTCAATGTGCTGTTCATTCTAAATGATGCAAGATGTTTGACGTATATGATGTACGAAATGACGATTGTTCACTTTTTGCAGGAATATAGACATGGAGACTTGAAGGGTTGCGAAAATGAGGGTTACGACTACAGCGGTAGGGGGTCGATGGTACTAGACTGAACATTTTTACTTTGGACTTCTGTTCTGCTGTTGTGTTGGAGCATACAAGTGCACAATGCTTATTAGAACAATTTCTTCCCAAGGTCTCGGCCTCTCATTCCACAACGATGTCTTGTTTCTAAGCATCAGTGTTATGTCTTTGTTGTGGTTGGCTTTAAAATTCTGTGCTAATGCAGGTTTCCGTTATATCTGGCGCATGCCCCAATACAAAACCATGCCAAGGTTTACAATCTCTAAACGCCAACACCTGAAGTGCAGCCCTCTTGAACACAATGTGCAGTAGTTATTGCTGGTACTAAGTAAATGTTTGTGAATCTTTGTTGTGCTCCCAGTTGTTTTTTTCCATGAAAGGAATGACGTATGGTGCTTTTTGTTGATATCTAGTTGGTTTGATGCATCATGGCAGATCCTTATGGTTGCATATGCTACGTGGAATCAACGCTGTCAAAATGTTTGTAAGCACATTAATCTTCGTTATCGTTTCACCTTTCAGTACTGTCACATTGTAATCACATTTTAATCAAGTTCTAGTTATCCGAAAACATATTGAGTTTTGCGGAGAGCAGGTATCGTGTGTGTGTCTGCGTCTTTCTTCTTTTCTTTTCTTTTCTTCTCAAAATTGTAGCAGTCTAAAGTTTGACGTCTTTGAAGGATCATACATGAATTGCTGCTTATAGCACTCTTGCTTTGTTCAATGCCAGGCTAACTTTGGTGGTGGGTCTAAATTACGTGAAACTCAAAGGGCCCCGAGTTTTTAGCGAATTTACCGTGGGTTTTAGTCCCCGCGGGAAAGAGGTGGTAAGTTACTTCGGACAGATGAAAAAGAGTTAGTAATGATCTGAGGCTCCCGCTGGTTGGTTTAAATTTCTTGTGGTATCAAACGGTAGACATGTTTGAATGTGATTAAGTTTGTGGTGGGTGGTTTCGAATTAGTTTCCGTTAATGAATGCTTCATTTTGAGACTTGTCCACCGGAATACAACTGATGATATACTCTGCGTGTGCCAGGTTGCTAATGGTCTAACGCAGTGGGGTTATGACGGTTTACACTCTGATTATAGGTATGATGACCGTAGTCCTGTACTATCAAGGCACTAGTAAACTTCAGTCATATTACACCGCACAAACTAAATTTATATCTATGTGAATCTGTTAATAGCGTACTGTGGCTTAGCACTAACATGTTGATTGCCCTCTTCTGGCGTACAGCTTCACAACGCAGCAATCGCAGGTTTTTTTTTACTTCTCAGCACAAAGCACTTCAGCAAGCAATATTGGGAAGCCTGCATACAAGGTATGTGGCTTTAACTTTCTTTCGAATCCTCATTAACCTCGTAAGTTCTGGGACTTATGATTTTTCTGTCTGAAGTAGCAATACTGTGGAACCCACAGGGAATTCCAGTCGCTGCAATGCTTTAATGGCATTAGGTGGAAGTTGCGAGCTTACTTTACATTTGTCTGGCTGTGAAGGTATACCCAGAGAGAGGTTTGAAGGTGGAGCTCTCAGGGACAGCTTCAAATGGGCTGCCCCCCACCGTCGAGTCACCTACTATCTTGGAACTCGATTGGCGATGTATGTCTGCTTTCATCTTTTTACCACCTTGTGTAATGTATGTGATTCAATTAAGCAGGCGTGCCCATCGGAATGGTATCTGAGATGTTTTTGAAGGAAAAAAAGTTGAATGTGTTTTTTATAAGGCCAGTGCGTATAATTATTCAAGTTTGTGCACGTGTTTTCGTCATGTTTGTACAGGTGAAAGAAAGGCATCCACGCCTTACTTGGTGAATGTGACCATTCCTATTGCAGATTATGACCCTATTGTGTTCACTTTGGGCAAATACTGCGGTACGTAGTTAGCTTGCCTTACTGTATACCGAGGAATAATATGAGCTGTTACGAATGTCTGACACAAACATCTTTAGATACTGTTTTGAGTTCGTAGTACTGTTTACTATTTCTCTTAGTGATATTTTGAAATCCTTGGGGCTTTTGCCCTTGATTCTTTCAATCATTCAACTTTGCAAATCATTTTCAAACTATGAGCATGGGCTATTCTTACTTTACTGTTGCGAGCATTGGGGTGCAGATTACGAAGACAACGTAAAGCCTACCGGTTCAAGTGGATGGGCAACTTTTGGTTTCCTGATATTTATGTAAGTCATTCATTTGCATGAATACATTCCCATTGTTGATCGAGTTCCAATTAGTAGTGGTCGATGAAACTGTACGTTGTTGTTTTTAGGTTATGTCCAGTATCACTATTTTCAACTGGATAATTAGAATCAGTGTATGTTGAACCTTGAGAAGCACCTTGCTCTCAAACGATTCGGAGCAGAGATGGCGATCTTGGTTGCTTTATGTTGACCAGCAAACGTTTTTTTAAGTCTGCCAACTTCACGAGCTCAACTTTGAGCAATGTACTATCTGATAGAGGATAATCATTGAATGCTTTGAGGCTGAAGCTGGGCTTTCTCAGTGCTCATCGGAGGTTACTACCTGGAACATGGTGACTGAATACGTGTTGCTTGCTTTGACAGATTGTTTGTGGGGCTTACCATGTTCTGTTGTGCGGGTTTTCTTTACAAAACTAGAATTGAAGACAAGGTGAGTTCGTTTTTTATGGCAGTATTTAGTGTGACTAGGATGTGTTGGCCTTGTTGTCTGCTTAGAATGGAGAGAGGTGTACCAGCCTATCTCCCTGGTTGCTTCAGTATTTTCTCCTTCTTACACTTTATGCAGACATTCCAAGATGAAGTCAAATATAGGTTTCTTAAATAATCATTAGCCCTTAATACATTAGCCTCTCGTCTGTCTTTCAAATTGCAGTAAATTACCTTGTGTGGTTCTTTGCTTTCATTAAATGGCAACCTCTGTGAATATTTTGTCTAATCAGCAACATTGCCTTTCTATAGCATGGCTTGGACGCGCTACCTGGATTTCCTTCAATTTTGAACATCATTGAATCTGTAAGTGGAAACCTAAACTACTGTGTTAAAAGCATAGATTTGTCTCAAAGTTTTATGTGGCTGTAGAAAATTGTAAACACGGAATTTTTAGTGATGTGATGTTAACATTGTCTTAGTGTTGTCGCCTTTATCTTAGAAGTGAGCTTCCAATCATTTCCAGAAAGCCATATTTATTTCTGTTGGATCAGGAAATATTAAGAGAATGTATGAATCTTGTTACAGTTTGGTAGGTCAACACAATCTGAGGTATCGTAATTGGTGTGTAGGCAAGCGGAAGTCGGAGTGGGTATGTTCCCGCTGATGATGTTACTAACATCACCATTTCACACAACGATTCTAGTAGCGGCAGTGGCAACCATAGCCAGAGGTTGCCACGAAGTTCTGATGGTCCCAGTTATGGGGCCGTTTGAGTACGAGTATAATACAAAAAATAACTCGTTATATTTTGTACCTGAATGAGTGCATAGGTGAGTTCTTTATTGTAGAAAGGATCGTGATGAGCCGGATGAGTTGATGTTTATGTAGACAAGAGTCTTTAAGGTCAGTACATTCAAGTATAGCGTTAGCTCGATAACATGGAGAAATTTTCAGAGGTCTTCGATTTCACCTGTGAACATGTTCATTACTGAGGGACGATCTGTATCATGCTCAATTTTCTTTATGTTTGTCGACGCCTTATCAATTCCGTGTGTTTATGCAATTCTTCAATGGTTGTCCTGGTAGTGTAACACATTAGTTTTTCAACAAATGTGCTTTTCAACACATTTGTAACAAAGTCCTGACATGTGTCGTAAACGAAACGTCAGGTTATGGTCCTTGCTTGTGCATGCCTTGTGAATGCTGTCTGTCCTCAGAACCCCCTATGAACCATTTCATGGTCTGCCCGACGTCTTATTTCTAGCAGAAATTGATTTTTTTGTTATTATGTTGTTGAAATCAGTTAAAAACAAGCATATTATGAATAAATATTATATATATATATATATATATATATATATAATTTTGTTCCTCCAATAATTGGTCAAAATTTTGGGAACTGACTCCAGCAAGTGTTGATTGTTAATTTGATAATTAATTACCTCTCATGAGTATTGTTTTTTTGTGCAATGGATGATATTAATTAGTGGGGGGATAACTACATAAATGTGAAGGACCTGATATAATTTTGAACTCAATAGTTCTATAATAAATATGTACTCTTAAAAGTGCAAAAATAATGAATGCCATGTGTCAATATTTAGGTTCATTGTTTTTAACAAAATGTACATTTTTCTAATTTTGCATTAATTTTCCTGTAGAAGGCATAAAGCTCTAAAAGTCTGAAACTTTGTAATTATTAATCACAGGCTTTAGAAAAATAAAATTTCTAAACATTATGATCACAAAGTAAATTAATTCAGATTCTTAGAATTTTAATGTATCCTCCATGATTTGCTGATTACATGACATGTTGTATAGGATAGAATTTTATTTTAAAATATTTTATACGTTAAATTTTTCCTATTTTACTAAAATTTTAATTTATCATTCAAATTTACATGGTATAATATATCAGTTCTACAAAATTAAAATTTCCAAGGCTTGGTTGTATTAAATTTACCTTCAACTTTCACAATTACTTTTACTTTGAAATAATATTTTCAGTCTTCTTTAAATTGACTTCAAATGAAAGTGTACATGAACTAAAATATCATACAGAGCAATATGTAGTGAAGTAGATGTATTTGTAGATAAACGTCATGTAATGCATTAATATGCACTTTTTAGTTTCACAAACTCCTTCAATATCAATAAATTTATTAAACTTCATGACATCAAATAATATGAATTTAAGAATAAAATTAAAATTAAAAAAAAACCTAATCACATGCATTAATTTCTTTGATATATTTTTTATTTTTAATTTGAGCTTTCTTTGTCTTTTACTTAATCATTTTTACATATGACATATCAAAATAATGCAAAATAATTTTGTGAAATTGAATTGTGTGTTCTTCTTTTATCTATGTACAACCTACTATTGATTAGACTAATCTTTAAAAATGAATTGATACTCAAAAAATATATATTTGAATGTGTTTTCTAATACTTTTAGATTCAATTTCAAACAAGCATTTCATTTGAATTATCTTCCACAACAACAAAAAACAATTAAGGTTTTTTCTGTAAAAACTAGTTGATGACTTTTAAACCATTGAAACTATATGATATTGTTCAAATGATGTTACAACTTCAGCTGTCAAAAATAGTTAAATTATCGTGCAAACTTTGTATGCTAAAGTTGAATTGATAACTTCTTCATGAGAATGGTCTTCTTCTTCTTCTTCTTCTTTTTTTTTTTTTTTTTTTTTTTTTTTGAGTAAAAGTTTGGTACAAATTCGAATATTTCAAAAAATCTAACCTATATATTGATATATTTCACTTCTATTGAAATACAATCTTTATATGTACACATAAATTATTCAAATTTTGAATCAAGTATTTTAGCCAGAAAAAAAAACAAAACAAAACAAAACAAAAACAAAACAAAAATTGGACAAGGCTTTCAATCATGCTAACATATACCACATTATAACACCTCGACATGTTTGAATAATATGCAGAATGATACTTTGTTTTAAAGCACATTATACAAACTAATGAAGAGTTAAAAATAGAGTAAATGAATCATAAAAATAAATAAATGAATAAGTAAATAAACACTTGTTGATAATAAAATTGACTTGTTACATAGATATTACCAACATCCAAAATTTGAGAGTGTTGATGCATTATATAGAGCAATAAGAAGATATATCATTTAATTATGAGGATTTCCATAAAGGGAAATATTCGAACTTTAAAAAAGAAAATCGCATCAATCAATTTATAGAGTAAGACGGTTAACAAAACAACCAATACTTAGAATTAAACATATCATTATATGATAATCTACTCCTCATATCAATACAAAAAAGTACCCAAAAAAATCGTCTTACATCTAAAGAAAATACGTCTTCCTAAAAAATAATTCTAACTTAAAAAATAAATAAATGAATAAATAAAATAAAACCAACAAAGGAATAAGTCATCTCTTGTTGTAGAATAATAAAGCAATCCCCACGCTTTAAACTTTTAATCCTAATTTCAGGAGACCTGGGAAGTTACACATCCATCCAATACGTAAGAATGCTATATTGGATGATATTTATAAATTATTCATTCATCTATTGCCAACGGCACTTTTTGCAGCAGGGTTTACTTTATCAGCACGGAACACTCCAGTACGAAGAAAATCTACTTATCCAGAAGATCTGCCGAATCGACGCAGAATCTACAAAACCGGTACCCAGTTCGACACGTAGATGAAATCCCGAACTCCCATTCACTCGACATGTTCCGTAGTAGAATGGGCTTCCAGTCTGCGTGTGCAGAAAGGAACAAACGAATCCCTGGGGCCCAGTTTCGCGACGGAACGGGTCGTGCAACAAAGCCGGCTGGCCCTTTGGCCACGTGTGAAAAGGACGAGGTGGATCGGGTATTATGGATGAACGTACATACGTGCTCGATAGTAACGCAGTGCTGTTGTCAGGCTTTTGGATGGGTATTATTGTATGGATGGATGGTGTTGTACGGATGACGTACGACTTGGGCATCTCGGTGGCTGGCATGTGGGACTGTCCTTTTTGGCAGAAGCTGCGTGTTCCTCGATGGACGGATGAATTATGGGTAGTTTTAACACCTAATGAATGGATGCGTTTTGTTTTGTTTTGTTCTTGTTCTTGTTTTTGTTTTTGTTTTTTTTTTTTAAATTAGAGAGAGCAATTTTGAGTTTGGTGAATGTGGTAAAAAATAGCATGATAATTTTTTTGTTTTTTTTTGTGGTTTTTATCTTTGGTTTTTATTATTTGTTTAATGGGCATGACAAACTTTAATAATTGATCCAGATAATTCAATCAAGGAGAATCTTTAAAATTAACTTGAAAAGAAACATATTTTGATCGAAAACTAAACATTGAAACTATTGTTTTGAAATTTTTATTTTAAATTATTTTGCTTAATCTTACAGTGCATCAGTTTAAACTTTACAAAAGTCTCCATGTACCCAACTTAAAAAAATTGCCAAGCAAATTTCCAACAAGGGTCCATTTCAATGCATCTGTTAAAAAATGTTTGAATGTGCTGCTTTTTGATTTCAATGCATTAATTTAAATTTTTCCTTCCAAAAAAAGAAAAGAAAAGCTTTGCACAAAATAAATTTTAAAAAATGGAGTGTGACATTATAACACACAAAATGCTCCTATGATTATTGCAGTAAATGAAAGCATAATAGTAACAATAATAATTCCCTATCATGTTTTGTAGAACTTAAGGGACACATTTTGTAGTGAGAGTGACTCACCATGGAACTATCCAAGCACTACCATTCCTATTTGATACCCTCAAAGTTAAAAGGCCATAAAGAAATTCATACTCTACATGCAAAAAAACAAATATAAAACATTCATATATATATATATATATATATATATATATATGTGTATTGGAAATTGCTAAAGCCACACCCTTATATTAATTAAGACACACCCATAAAATGTTGTGGTTGTTTGCATTGCAATTTCTATTGGAATCACACTTCACAATTCCTTTTGGGATACTTTGGAGAATGTGATCTAGTGAAGCAACATACATTTTGGAGGAAGAAGCATTGGGAGTGAGGATTTGGTGTGGATGTACAAGTAGAGAGTGACAAAGGAGAGCAAGTCTACACACAAGTGTGCAACAACATAGAAAACTAGAGTAGACACACGTGGAGAGCAGCCAAGAGCGAGAAGGGAGAGCACTCAAACAGCAGGACTTAAGGGGAGAGCAGGACTATGCTGGTGTTGCTTTAGCAGTTCCCATACATGCATACGTATGTACACACGTACATACATACATACATGTACATATATACATGTACATATATGACTGAGCAGGCATACATGAGAGAATAGTGAGCAGAAAGAATCTAAACAAGATTATTCATAAAAATTGTTCTTTTTCTGTAAAAGTGAAGAGAGGTATGGTTGAGACACATGCATGCATGCATACATACCCCTTCTTTTCTTTCCTTTCTTTCACAACATACTAATAAGGGGGTTTGGGGGGAGGGGAGGGGGGCCTTGTCAAAGGGTTGTGTGTGTGTGTGTGTGTGTGTGTGACCCTTTTGCTTCTCCTTTCCTTTACCCTTTCCCATTCTTATCCAATTCATTCTCTCTATCCCCTTTTGACCTATTCTTCTTCCTCCTCCTCTTCCTTCCTACACTCTGCCCATGCCCTCACTGCACCCTACTCAGTCCAAAACCCTAAACCAACCAGCCCTGGGATCAGCAGGAGGTTGGATGAATAAATGAATGGATGGATGAATACCCACTTGCATAATAAACTATTTATTATTAATTGGTAGCAACCCAGTCAAGTCAAGCAATCCCCCCCCCCTCACCCCCTCCCTATTATGTATGATGTTTGTTAAAATCAAAGGGGGGGGGGATTCCAATTCCCATGATCCCCCCTTTGGAAGCAGCCCCAATGGAAGAAAGGAAGGGGCTGGCTCTCACAGGCCATCCCCCTTTACCCAATTATCTATTTATTCATAAGTACTAGTCAAATGCTCCCTTCATGATCACCAAAGGGTCAAAGTCCCTTCCCCTCCCCCAAGTC